AGTCTTCAGGTTTTTGAGAATGCTTTCCATTGTATTGTTGTGCACAGGACCATTTAAGTTTGTCATATTTATCAATCACTTGTAGCTTAGGAACAAGAAGAGCTGCCGAACAGTTTTACAAAGCCGACAGAAACGTCCGTTGAGATCAAAAGGTGTGAATGGTCAACAACAATCACGTTGCGATCACAGGAAGCTTAAGAATTACGACAGCGTGTTCTCCGAAGTCCCGATATCTCGATATCTCGATATCACGACAAGCTATATAAATAGATAAGTTATGGATCACGAACTAGCAACCAACTTCGTCCCTTTTTCACGAAACAGACGATTTGCAGTCCAACCGGACATCAATGCACAAATCAACACAAAAAATAGCACAAATAGTCAACATTGCAGGCGGTTAAATATTATCTGATAGTTTATGTGTGGTATGAGGGTGCCTTTAAGCTGGATCACGGGTGAGTAATCACGCGCTTTTCGAGCCAATTTTTAAAATCGTTTGCATATGTAAATCTTCGGAAGATTAGCACCCACGCGAAGCAATTATATCGTGTGACGCAATGGTAAAAGCATTTGAACAACTTACTAATTTGAACTCTATCGCTGCCGATTAGTTAAGTCTTTTTTGACAGCATTCGGCTCGACATCTCGACGATTTGAATACCTTCCTGTCCGCGGCTGTGTTTTCATGTTTTTTTCTACTGTATTGTATATTTCTTTGCTAAATCAAGAGCGCCAGATGTGCATTAATTTTCACGCCCATATCATCCGATCGTCACCCGTATATCGGACTGTTTGCCTCGTGGAAATGAAAAAAATGAGTGGAATCGCTTTTTAGGACTTAGTACCGAATATAAGCATCTCAGGAAGAAGTGCTCAAATCGAGTACTACTGGAATGAGTGAAAGAACCAACTTATTTCCCTATTCTCCTATTTCTGTAGAAAGGCTGCAATCGGTTGTTGGTATATCATTTCAACACTTCAAAAATTACATTTACACTCTTTACGTAAACGATCATTACAACGTAAAACTAAATAAAAGCTCATGGGGAGGTACAACTAAATATATATTGCCACTTAACCGAAAACAGTCATGAAATATATCCGCTTGTCAACGTGCATGTAGTATGCTCTTTTTCAATCCATTATGCAATAACTTTGAAATTTATCCTGTTATATTTCCGCGGAAAAAAAAGATGTTTATCAATTTATTCGCGTGATAGACACATTTCGTGAAAGAGGGTTTGCTAATGAGTCAAGAAATCCAATATCTAAACAAATCCTAAAATGATATCGGCTGGTAGAGGCTATAAAACTGAGACAATAATGCTATAATAGGATGTTAATTCGTCTGTTTGTCACTTGTTATCATACATGCACAGTTTACCCTGAAACAGCTGTACATACGCGCATGTTTTAGAGTATGTTTAAAAATTATTCTCAACTAGAGCTAAAAATATACAATTAATAAGCTTCATAAGTATCTTAGTTTATTTTAAACAAATACATGAACAGCAGTAGCAGAAATGCGTGATCATAAGGTCGACAACCAATCTGAAACAAATGAGAACACGTCTATGAATTAATTTTATAACATGGTTAGATGCAAAACATACAATATCAGTCATGATAAGGATATTCTTTTAAAGGAGCCATCCTTATCGTATAAAGAGTATGTCCCTTCCCTGCAAGACAAACTTTCCGTTCAGGAATACCTCAGATCAAGTCTTTCACTGCTAAATTTTTTAGGTCAATATGGCTAGATATTATTCCAGCTCTTATTTCCTTATCCCTCTCTCACTGTCTTTATTTTTATCTAACTATTGATATACTTTTTTCACTATGTTTTAGACGGTTTTTCATGGAACGAAACTGCTTTTATAGACCGACTGAGCAACACTTCTGGTGCAGCTAAATATAACTGTCTCCTCACCTAAAACAGTCATAAAATATTTTCTGATATCAATGTGTGCAACACATTTGATAAGCGAATTTTTTTAAGTTTTAGTTATCGCTTTCAATTCTAATCAGTTTTCATCGCGTCGAGGAAATGAATGCTCGTGTATCAGCTAATGCCTTTTAGAGCGCTGATTTTTGTTAAAAAGAAGGTTGGCAACAAATTTGTACAAAATGAGGTATATATACAAGCACTTCGATTGATATTACGGAAAAATAAACAAACTTTGTTTTACTCAGATCATTCCGTAAATGGGTCTTGATTGATACCTGTGACGTCAATGGAATTTCGACTGTTTGTTACTTGTCATGAAACTAATTCGCCGTTAATCATTTCTACATGAGTAAAGTCTATTTAAAGAAACTCCTATCAAAGCAAATGGGATGGCCGTGTTTGTTAATTTACGACGAAACGAACTCTGCCCTCACTAGGGAGCCGCTTCCGGACATGATAAACGTCGCCACTTTGTTTACGTGCGCGCGCCACTCGCTCACAGCAAGGAAGCACTTACAGTGGAATTAGTGTAAGACTGCTTATTGGCAAAAAATTTGTGTTCTTTAAAAATGAATGTCACATCGATCCAACTGAAAACAGCTCCAGATCCTTCGATCACCATAGGCAAATACGGGTGCGCATATACGAGAGTTCACAGACTTGGGTGGCTTGGTGCAAGGAGGCCTGACCAGTTAGTGATGTTGTCATGCCACTATTTGTGCTAGACTCCCCTGTCCTCTGCTTCTTTTACCAACAGTAATACCATCTTGATCTTTCAAGAGAGGATACACTTTATCCTCGCTTGGATCCTTGGATTAGTTAAGGGTTTTTCTTGTTTGGAATCTCCAAATGAAGAGCAGCAACTTTTTAATATATGCAGGAATGTTCGGCACTAAGGGGAATAGAGGCGGGCCTTTTAAGGCCCGAAGTAGTAAGGTAAGCTAGACTAAGGCATTTATTTAAGCCCGGAGTTGAGTACTATGGCTATACTCCGAGGAACCGGGATCCGGAACTGATTGAGATGATTTTTTCATTCATTTATTTATCATTATACACCTATACAATAGGATGAGCATAACGCTTATTTTGATCTAGGCTCGAGTAACGGTACCCGCACTCCTCTTTTATTTTCTTAGCCTGAGATTAGGTCCTTATCATATGCGCTTCGGCAGGATTGTTTTTTCGCTCGCGAGAAAATTTGAGACCGTAGGGCAACGGTCTCTAAGGAGTTTAGCACTGACAATTCGTTAGTGCTAAATCCATTGCCAACCTCTCCCTGACTCGTCTCAAATCTTTCCACGGGAGGAGAAACGCTCCTCCTGCGGCGCTATCAAAAAGATCCCTTTCTAAACAGACTCTAAAGATGATTTGCGGCTTTTGCAAAGTCTGTTACGAGTTGTTACACGTACACAATGCAAGGAACGCCATTTTTCGCAATTTCGCTCTCTTCGGAGTGGAAGGTCTTCAAATGAACGGAAACATTTCGGTTTATGTACTTTCGTGTGGACAGACCCGCTGCTTTTTTCTGTACTAAATTTCCTCTCCTCTGGGCCAATAAAGAAATCTTTTTATGTATACAATTCAATTATGATAATATGCGTGCTTCCGATATTCCGTTACGATTCTTCTAAAGTCAATGAAAACACAATCGTTTTGGACCCTATTTAGCCATACCTGCGCGGAAGAGGGGATCGACTGTTTCTCCCTCGCCAAGAGGAAAACATAGCACAATAAAGCCGTTGCTCTTGCCGGATATTAAACTTGAGCGATACCAAGCATTGTTTTGACAGTTTTCCCTCCGGTTAGTTCACATCACTGTTGCTCCCTTTCAGATAAAACTCAATAAATAGCTAAACCAGCTTGAAAACTCTTCATAGGTCATTTAAAATAAGTATTGGATCCGCTAGTCACGCCATTGCGTGACACTTTTATGCCAACACTACCAGCCAATAAAAATTAACCTTGAAGAACAGCTCCACCGATACGTAGAGAAGATTAGTGCATTCTGTCAGGCGTAAATTTTGCTGGCGTCTTGCTTTGGGAAAATGTTACACGTATCGTTTTTTAACGCGACATAACAAATCGAATCGATATGTCCGACTGTTTCCTGAATAACTTGTGACTGAATAAATTGAGACATATTTTTCTCAGTGATACGGATGTTATTGGAGATAACAATAATATATTTAAAAAATACGAACTGTTATATTTGCATACTTTCCCTGTTGTTATAGTTTTATGGATATTCGAATTTTAGCAAAAGCACAACTCACGTTGTATAAAGTTCACTTTCTTTGTATGTATCATGTCAGTTATTAGCGAGAGAATACATTGTGTCACCCTGCCATTATCTAGAAACGGAGTTGTTCTAGAGAAGCAACCAATAAAGGCCACTTGAACATGTGGCAGGCGTCTCGTGTAATCATACTAAATAAGATCGAGTAGACTAAACGTTTCATCAATGGATTAAATTCGGATTCGAACGATTCTCCAAAACTAAAGCAGTTTTTTGGCTTAAAACCGTGACCTGAGAGAACATACGAAACTCCACGTGTTTTTTAATAGAAAAGATATAGTGAAATAGCATGCTAATCAATATTCAGACGTTGTGCCTTATCATTGATGTAGACATTGTTTTGTGAGGGAAAACAATAAGATTTCATTAGTTATGACAGTTCTTGGCGTGGGAGTATGCAATGTTTTTGAGAGGTTGATATATGGCGCGAACTTTACTCCTTTATGTTGGACTTTCATTCTCCGTTGACGTTCTGGTGCATTCGTGCGCGAGTAGAATGAGATAAAAAAGAAACAGCTTCTCAATCAGAAGGCAAAAAGGAAACCTCAGGTTTTCCTTGTTTATGACAATAGCAGGTCAAGACAAAAGCAAATATACGATGAAAAGGTGTCTCAGTTGAATAAACAAGAAAAGATATATTTGCTTTCACTAACGTGTCAAACGATCTCATCTTAAAACGAAAGCCTTACTGTTTGAGTGAGCAAATACCGTACATCTTAAGAACATCTTAAACATTCGATGGAGGTTTAGCAAGCGTTGATTGTTTAAACCCGATTATCGTTTCATAAACGTCTCCGACAGGCTCAGCGGTAAATATTTGTCATAACCAGCGGTATCTGTCTGTTTGATCTTAATTAGCAATTCTGTTTGCGTGGCGTGAACACAGTTCGCTCGAGTAGGTAGACTTCGACACGGTGTTGTCAAAGAAAGACACAAAATGGAAATCAAAGAAGTAATGGAAACTCTAGAGGAGCTTGTAACGTGTCATCTTTGTTCAAATGTCATAAGGAATCCTAAAATTACGCCTTGTCTTCACACTTTTTGTTGTGAGTGTCTCAAAGATGTTGCTAGAAGTCGGCCATACCAGACCACAATCGCGTGCCCACTTTGCCAGTATGATATCCGCAAACCGGAGGGAAACAAGTTCGAGTCGCTTCCAACAAATTTTTACATTAAGCGTCTTCTTGACCTGCTCATCGCTAAAAGACGCAGTTATCCTGAAGCATCCTGCGGCAACTGCCAGAAGAAGTTGACACTCAGCGCCTTCTGTTTCGCGTGTGACACATTTATGTGCGATGAATGCCTCAATGCACATAACGTTATTACGCGAAGTACCGGCCATCGAACCGTGAACTTGGGAAAATTCAAGCCGCGAGACTACGAAGACATGCTACGGCGTCCGATGCTGTGCGCCCATAAGTTCAAAGAGAAAGGAGTTGTGGAGTATTTTTGTTATGATTGTGACGCTTCTGTATGTCACATATGCAATATCGCCATTCAACACACGCATCGTATTGTTGACCTTCACGAGGCCGCCAGCGAGCAGAAGCTGAAGTTTCGAGAAATGAGTACTAAACTTAAGGAGAAGATACGATTGGTGGAACTTGGTGTACATAATGTTGAACACCGCTCGATGGAGGTACAGGAGCAGGTTGATTACTTGAAGAAGGACGTGACAGAGAAAATGGATGAACTTGTGTCCATTATACGTGCCCACCAGGAGGAAATGATCCAGACACTGGAAAGTATTCGTAAGGACAAATTGGAAAACTTAACGTTCCAGCTGAAACTTTTCGAGTCAATGATGTCACAGACCGAAGGTTCTTTCGACTTCATCGAAGATTTGCTTCAGAGGAATATCAGCGAGGAAATTATGTACATCAAGAATCACGTAAAGTCACGCGTGGAGGAAATCACGAGTCTCGAAGTGGGTACCAATCCAGCTGAAAATGAACACATTGGCTACGTACCCAACACGGAAATGTTCGAAGGGCTCCAAAACTCAAAGCTGGGCAAAGTTGTTACTAGTCTCACGGAACCTTCCTTGTCCACTGCTGAAGGAGACGGCGTGGATGAAGTGTCAGCAGGAGAGGAAGCAGAGTTTATAGTGACAACCAGAAATGCACAGGGTGAAGTCAGCTACAGCGAAATCGACCACGTGGTAGTGGAAGTGAAGTCGTCGATGTGGGGCCTCATAGAAAGCAGAGTACGAAATTATCGAAATGGCACCTACGATGTCAGCTACATACCACGTGTTCCAGGACCTCATCGTGTGCAAGTCGAGGTCGGTGGCCATCTCATCCAGGATAGCCCCTTCATGATAGAAGTCAAGCCGCCCATACTAAGCCCGTTAAAGTCCTTTGGATCTCATGGAAACGTCGATGGAAAATTTACTCAACCACACGGAGTAGCTGTTTCAAATAGCGGGCAGATTATCGTCTCTGACAGTTTGAAGCATCGGATCCACGTATTTACACCGGACGGCGGGCAGATCCTCGAGTTCGGCAGTGAGGGAACAAAAGATGGCAAGTTGTTCCACCCGATGTCAATAGCGCTCGACAAGAGTCAAAAGTACGTGTTAGTGGCAGACAGTGACAACAACAGAGTGCAGTATTTTGACTTGAAGACTGGAAAGTTTGTGAAAAAGTTCGGTTCCGAGGGAAGTGGCCATGGGCAGTTCAACGGCCCTTGCGGCATATCAGTTGATCAGAAGGACCGTGTCATCGTCACTGATTGGAACAATCACCGAGTGCAAGTGTTTAGCTCCGACGGCAAATTCCTCTTCAAATTTGGGGACGCAGGCAACGACAGACTAATTCATCCCAGATTTGCCATGTACCATGACAAGGAGGAACGCTTCGTAGTCGCTGATACTGGTAACGATGTAGTTAAAGTTTACGACCAAAATGGCGATCTTTTAAGAATTATAGGTAGGCATGGCCATAAGAAAGGGGAATTTTGTGGTCCCCGTGGCCTTGCCATTGATAAAAATCAAAACATAATTGTATGCGATTTCGAAAACCATCGTCTACAACTTTTCAATATCAAGGGGGTCGTTCTCAATAGTTTTGGCACGAACGGGAAGGGGATCGGTCAGTTTGCTTTTCCATTAAGTGTTTCAGTGGTTGGCGGATCGCGGGTTGTTGTGAGTGACTGGGGTAACAATCGCATACAAATATTCAAATATAGAGATTCCACGCACTAAAAGTGATAGTCTAGTCACTGCATTCAAGGTTCTGGATCCTCGTGTTGTAGGAAATTGCGATATTTTCAATTCATTCTAAATTTGTATTCGATCTGAACTTAAGAATTACAAGAGCAGGAAGTGCAGTTGAAGCTTTACGACGTATGATAAACAGCAATGATTGCTTTGCAACAATGAACGATCTCTGATCGGCTTGTCAAATTGGCACGAATTTCATCTTTTTAATCCGAGTTTGGGTGTTAATGTTTTTTGGCAGTTTTCGTCCTGAGATTTTTCTGCGGCTTTTAGCCCTTCGATATTTAAATAACCTACATTCGAGAATATATCACTAAATGATAAAGCTTATCAATTGGTTTGAGGGTTGAAATGTTTTAGGCTCTATTATGACATGTAAATATATTATTTCGGAAATTGGGCGGTAACTGGTAATGGTGTAAAATTAGACACTACAATTATAGTAATAGATTAATCACTCTCCTTTGCCGGGATTAGTTTTACATCTCTGATCCATTTTGTCTAGACTGAATTAAACAAGCTGCGAGGGCTTAACATTTTAAGGCAATTAAGTTATTCAGCCTCATTGATATATAACACCAGGTCTTAACACTTTCACTTCCGGAAGAGCCAAAAATGCAATTTCTCCGCACAATATCAATGTATTTTCGAGAAAAAATATTAGCTAAGAAACGTTTCCTGATTAAACACTATATTCTCATAACTCAATTATAAGAAATGTTTGGCAGGGAATTAACCCTTTGTACCCTTACATCAGTATCCAAATTCTCCATACTCGTCTCCACACATTTTCTTTGGCACGGACGAGGAGAATTTGTTTAACAATTAAAGCTTCTTAGGGTTGGCGATCATTTCCTTTCTTATAATGACATTAATGAATGATTCAGCAGTATTACTGTAAGGAGAAATTAGATCCTGGTCACTCTTAGGGTTTAAAGGGGTAAGGGTTACATATTGGGGGTAAAAGCAATTTTTTTTGCCATTTTTCGAGGCGAGCAAACTACCTTTCACCAAGGAGAACGGCTGAAAATATTCGTTTGCAAAGACAGGGTTTACACAGCGAAAGGTAATGATAAACTTAAAAATTAACAAACATGACCATGGGTAGAGAAGATTAGAACGAACTTTAAAATTTGGACTCTTTTAGAAAACAAGAAACCTTGATTAACCCTGTTATGATCTTTATTAATGACTTCTTATTAGAGGCATCTATTTCATAGTGTTTTTCAAGGTTTTTTTTTCAACATTCCTCATTATTTTTCCGACGTAACAGAAACAAGGGTGGTATCGCAGGGCACCAGTAGTGCATCCCCCACCCCACGACTTTTTACTCCTTTCTCTTCTCTCTCGAAAGGAAAGGGGACTGCACAGGGCAACCATCATGGAATGGTGAAAGGTAAAGCTGTGAAACCTGCCATTCAATTTTCCTTTGTACTGAAGTGTTTATCAAGTCGGAGGAACATTAATGTTGTAGAAAATGTTTTTTTCAAAATCACCACATAGATGTACTTTAAAATTTTAGAGTAAATGGGATGCCAATAAAAAAAGTGTATAATTGAGTGATTTTGTTGTTGTTGTTTTTTTTTTTTTTTTTTTTTGTTTTTAATTTAGTACTTTAGTACCTAGTAGGTACTAAATTAGTTTGAATACCAGCGGAAGGTCCACATCTTTGAACTAACTTGAAATCTGTTTTATATTCATTGATTGTAAGTCTCCCTTTTAAGACTCACTTCAGTCGGAATGATATCAGCAGCACCTCAAAGACCACATACACCTCTTGGTAATGCTAAAGGGAATCTATCTGTATGTACGTTCTCATGGTGTCAAGCTCACCTTTGATGATTTTCCGTTCCCCTCCTCCCCCCTCCCCCCTTTCTCTGGAAGTTCCCTATTTAAAGTCAGTTCCAATCGTTAAAGATGAGTCGAATAACTTTTTTTTGTGAAGTTCGTCAACTCTGCAAAGAAGGGAACTTCATTGCTTTTTTTCTCCTGATATGGATCCTTCAAAGAATCCAGGAAAACAGCTGCAGGCCAACACCTCTGACTTTTTAACTCTCGTGAGTGACCAAGACACAATTAATATCAATACAACATCACGTTAAAATTTAGGTACATCATCCCTTACAAGGTAGCGGCGAAAAAATATCGGAGAAAACAACCGTTTTCATTTTAATTTATTGTCACGCTCATAAAACGTGAAGCAAAAAATACAAAAATTTTCGTTTACTCAGAGAAAAACTTTCCAACACAGACCTGCTGCTTTAGGAGTCTGGTTACTCTGTTAGTTGGCTCCTTTGCCAGAAAATTATTATGGATAAGATGCATAAAAAAGGTTATACTGATTTCCTCTGAGGAAACCCACTTCGAAACTGTTGGGTCTAAAATGATAAAACTACTGTAGATATTCGGATAAAATGCAAAGAAAAGAACTCAAATTAACACGCACACTTTTTCCCAATAGCGATGTAAAGGAAAATTGAAGAAAACCTGAAAAGTGAAGCAAAATTCAAGCAGAATAAAAAAATGATTGCGGAAGGCCAGAGTTTATCTTCTCTCAGTGATGACAAGTTTAGCAAAGTGCAGAAGAAAGAGAGGCTCTCTTTCTGCATAATGTTAGGTACATCATTCAAAACATACTTACTAGAGCATTGGGCAAACATTTTCGTTCATTAAGTATATGTTCTTCATTCGAATGTTCATCAAATTACTTTGTATTATTGTACATAGGATATTCATTTTCGGGTCGTTCCAGTTCTTCATATTGTGGTTCCACTGACCCTGGTGGAAGAGAACCTGGACTCATCATATACGCATCATTAACAGCCGCCATCTCCATCCCTGAGATTTTTCGGGAAATTGACTGCTCACTGTCGACTCGTTGTTTTGCAATTCTAAAATGAGAAAAGCAGAGTTAGTGTCTATGCAAAAAAAAAAAGTGGCCACACATATTTAAGGGTGTGTCGACCTGAAGCATTTAAAGTAATAAACAATTCAGTTTTACTTTACCTAACGTTATCATTAGTGAAAAAAAAAAAAAAACCATAATAAACTCCATATTAAATGTTTCTTGGAAAATAAACTTTAAATGTGCTGCTCCTCAATACAATAATCCCCCTTCCCTACCTCCCCACCTGCACGGTGTTTGACCACAAAAACTATGGCTCATTTCTGTCCAGGGTAGGAAGGGGTCGATATAGAGGAATTGGGGACAAAATTGGCAAATTGCTCTCGGAGATTGCGATCTCGTTTGATGGCCATGCTTCAACTTTCTTTGTTACGGATTTTTCATTTATTACTATTCTTAGTCTTACTAGTAGACTTCTTCACTAGTAGTCTTCTTTAAAAATTTCGCCAATAGATGGAGAAATGTTGGTAGAGTATAGGAGAACATTGAGCACAGTAAGCAGAAGTTAGCACAGCAGTTTTTTGCCCTATTTATTTAACTTCCTCTAATACTACCATAAGATCGCGTCAAACAAGATTTGTATTGACATACCCGTTCTTCTTTCTTTTCTTACAGTACCAAATGGTGGCAATGATGACAAGAATGAGGAGCAAAGCAGCAGCAACACATCCACCAATGATGGCATGCATTTTGGATCTGTCTTTTTCTGTCGGGATCGTTGCGGTCACAGGAGTCGTTACCGTCGTTGTATCGGCAAAAAGGATTTGTACACTCGATATATTGGCATTTATGGAGCTCGAGAGTTCAACCAGTGACCCTTGAACGATGTTGGCCAGGACGTCTTTCTTTATGACGGGGACTGACGATCCAGGAGGAAATTGTACATAAAATGCAAGGCTAGCTAGGAGAGGTACTACAGATATTTGCTTTGGGTAACCGGGCAGAAGATGAACTTGGTTTTCCGTAAATGTGACGTAGCTCGCTGCCCTCCGGCGCCTTGAGCTGAAAAAAAAGATGCAATAGACGTGCATGGGTGGATTAGTATAATTGTTTCTTCCTCGATCTGAAATATGATGATGTTTGAATAAAGTTTTTGGATCGAAAACCTTCAGACGCCGGTGTTGCTATATGACGGATGCCCTGCATACAACTAAGGCGTTGACGCCCTGGGCCAAAGAAATGACCTTGCTCTTAAGTCTTTTGTTAATGCAGAGCTATCGGTTCGATAGTCAGTCAGTCAGCTACGATTTATAAGCCTTCCGATCTCTACCTATGTCAAACTTGTAGTCTGTTAAGCAGCCAATAGTTCGCAGTGATAGGCAGTTGGCTGATCTGAGTTTTATACGATAAATATTCCGTCAGTCAGTCTGTCTGTCAGTTAGACGGTCCATCAGTCAGGCGATCGGCAAGTCTGTCAGTCGGTCAGTCGGTCAGTTGGTCGGTTGGTCAGTTCAGTCGGCCAGTCAGCCGGTGGATCAGTCAGTCGGTCTTTCAGTTGGTCAGGTAGTCGGTCATTTAGTCGGTGAGTCAGCCGGTCGGTGAGTCGGTGGGTCAGTCAATCCGTCAGTCTGCCAATCAGCTGGTCGGTCAGCCGCTCAGTCGCTCAGTCGGTGGGTCAGTCAGTCGGTCTGTCATTTGGTCAGTTGGTCGGTTCGTCGGTCAGTCAGTCAGTCAGTCAGTTATTTAGTCGTTTAGTGCACCGTGATTAATTTGCCCAAAATATTGACCCGGTAGACAATACACGGTCGGTATGTCAATCGATCGGCTATATTGTAGATAGACAGATTAAATTTCTACCTCGTTTTCTTATCTGTACAATCGTCCTTTGTCGCGCAATGTTTGGTAGCTGCTTCTGCTAGGGTAGTTTTGAACTTCTCTTCAACTTCAGCGTTCCACTAATAAAAAGAATTATTCAGTATATCAGTTGTGGTTATTGAAAATTTCTCCTTTCTTAAAGGATAATCTGCCATACTGACGGTTCACATGTCCAAATTTTCAGAATGGCAAAAAAACAGTCGAAGACGCAAATTCACTGCCATCATGCTACAATGTAGCGAGAAGGACTATAGGCAGCCAGTACAGTTTATCACATGCAAGTATTCTCTGTTTCTCACCATCGAGATATTGAAGGCCACCTCTACGTTGACCGATTCACTCTTCTCCTCATCTGATGGTGCCCTTGGGGTTGAGGCGGGAGGGGGTGGGGGAGGAGCCTCGCCCTTTTCTAGCCCTGCAGGTGTAGAGAGGATGAAGAAATGCTATCAACCTCAAAACAGATTCACCTACTATCGTAACACAGTACAAAAGTTGAAGAAGAAAATGTGCGTGAAATTACGTATCTCTTACTGGTATACTGGTATATTTTTGCGCTCAAGTATTCACGAACTTATGAGTATTTGATCGAGACTTTGAAAAATAGATATCAAACATACAAATTAAAAGGAATCCACCCTTAATTACAATCGGAAGATTTCGCAGTCTGAAAAAAGCCCACAAGCCATCCCTATCACGAGATGAAAAGCCTTACTTATCACATGGTCGTATCCCATGATTTTGCTCTAGGAATTATTAAGCAGAATTAAGCAGATTCGCTCACTTGTTTTCATCTGTTAAAGTCCTAGCAACTTGCTGAGCATACTAACTAACTCACGGACAACCACTTGCACCTATAATTAGTTTCAGCAGTAATGACCGAAATTAAAGGTTCGATACGTCTACTAGCAAGTAGTTCAGGAATTTCATTAGGGCAAATAGGCAAATAATTAATTGGGCAATAAGTCACCTTTGCACATGTTATCTATCCAATAAAGTCCTTCATCACAGACGCACTTGTAGGAACCAGGCGTGTTTTCACACTTCTGCGAGGGATCGCAATTAAACGTAAACTCCATACATTCGTCGATATCTGAGATAGAAATAAAAAGAATTAGAGGCGACACAGTTTGCCATTATGACGAAAACTTCATTCTACCAGACGAAATATCTCAAATAGCAATAAAAATTTTCCTACTTCTTAAATAGATCATTATATCCAAAATCTGTTACACGGATCGTTCTTGAGAGATAATTAATTAAAAAACTTTAGCTGTTACCATTGCAAGCGTAACCATCGCTGTCAAGTTTAAACCCAGCCACACAGGAGCATTCATAGCTCCCTACTGTGTTTTTACAAGACTGACTACACCGATTGTTGTCGCTTGAAGAGCACTCATCCACATCTAGAAAACACAAAAAACGGGTATAAAAAAGCAATGCATCTAAGTCACTTTGCTGCGGTGGCAGATAAATCCCAATGTAGTTAATACAAGTTTAAAAAGGACTGAAGAAAGAAAAAAAGAATTGGATAAATTCCCTTACACCATCTCTCTCGGAGTGATATCCACTCCTGGTACAGCACCAATTTTTTTTAAGAAAGCCATTTAGGATTTATTGTTAAGATGCACGCATGGATGCGATGTTTTTTTTATTATTAATATTAATATTATTTTACATCTATGTGTGATCAAAAGTGTTCTTTTCAAAGGTAATTTCGTAAGATTTCTAAACCCCATCAGTAAAAGAAGAAAATAAAAAACGAGGGAAAGAAGGAAGAGCGAGAGAAGACTGATGGGCAAGAGATTGCTGGCTGCAGGAGCTTTACATTGTTTTAATCTGGTTTTCTATGGTGGTATGATGTGTGTGTGTTTGGGTTTGTGTGGTATGGTCTTAACAACAGAGACTCAAAAATACCTAACAAATAAGTTAAAATCAACAGAAAAATTATCGATTTCTATTCATCAACACGGTATAAAGCTCGGGTATTCATGACACACCTGAGCAGGTTTTTTCATCTCCATTCAACTCGTACCCTGCATTGCATGAACACTTGTCTTGGCCGTTGGACTGGAAGCAGACATGTTGGCAGCCGTGGTCTCCTTCACAAGGATTCAAAGCTGTGTCATGAATGCTAAGTGTTAGTATAACCCTTTTTAAAGCAGTAATGATTTCAATAAAATAATTATCACTAACGCACAGACAAAAACGTTACTTATGCAAAGTAGTTTCAGAGGAGTTTTCGAAAGTTTGAAGCAGGTTTTTCTATATTGTGGGCGTCAAGAAGTATTAAAAATGATATTTGAAAGAAATACCATTTTCCAGAGGGGTTTGAAATACATCCACATGCCTTTCGCGAAAAAAATTCACATGCATGTGGAATTTGCATGTAAAACAAGAGTGAAGACCGTACGAAGACTGCGCTTGGATTTTACTTTAAGAGCACAACTGCACAAAGATATGCGTTTAGTATTAAAAAAATTTCGATTTCAGCAACTTAGAGATGAAATGGAGGCTAATAGAATAATAAAAGAGCCAGCATATCTCATAATAAAACATCTTCACAGGAAATACAACAGAATTTATCAGGAAAGTGACACTGAATTACTCACGTATGCATTTCTTTGAATCATCCGGGTCCACCTTGAAGTCTGCATTGCATTTGCAGTTATAACTTCCCGGGGTGTTTTCACAAATGTGCATGCAATCACCGACTGGAGAACACTCATCATTATCTAAAGATAAAGATATAAACGGCATCAAACAATGATTGTTGGCAAATACGAACAGAAAACTGGCCCCAAACCCTAAAAAAATTAAATAATTGGTGTAATGTCGGAACACCGAAGTTAAATACCAATGGACTATACACGAGTAATGCCACAGCAACACTAAAAAAACCTAATTTAGGACAACAAGGGTGAAAAAAGTCAATATCCTCGCCAACCCCTTGGATCGAGATAAGAATTGACTTCGATTAAAATCGAAAATGGTTCAGGCTCTTCAAACACGAAGAATATGATCAGAGGAGCTTTTTTCTAAAATAAGAAAACAAAGCCTCTTATCATTTTCTTTTAGATTACCTGCGCATGTCTTCTCGTCTATTCCGAGAGAGTATCCCGCTTTGCACTCGCACACAAATGATCCAGGAGTGTTGATACAGGTGTCACTGCAGCCATCAGTCTTCTTGGCACATTCGTCCACGTCTGAAAAACAAAGGAGGGGTTAGAGGCAGAGAGATATTTCATAATTAATTAGAACTATAGGAAAATTCTTGAACGTGGTTGGTTATCACCAACCGAAGTTGAGCACTAATTGGACAGTGTACACGTCATTGCTTTGTAGTTGGACAGCACACGCCACATGCGCACGCTGTTGTCACACATCTTACTGTGTTAACTGTTGTTTTTCATGAAAACGTGTCACCGGTAGCTAGTTAGTTTGTTTTTCTATTTTTGATAAATTGGTAACAAGACTTCGTGTAGTCCAATTCTGTCTGTAATCATACTAGTATGGTTAGAGACCTAATTGGACTACAATCAGTCACATTACTGATACTTGTCATCCCCTTTCTAAGATTAAGCATTTTCTAACTTTTCTTATTTTCTAACTAATTTTGCCTGTAGAAATACGGAATTTATTTTTAAACAAAGAGCAACCGTTACCTGAACATTCTATTCCATCACCAGAATACCCGTTTGGGCAGGGATCACACTTGAATCCAGTTTCATTTGCAGGCGCTGGTAGATCGTTACAAGTCACACCCGGGTAACAAGGCTGGAAATTTTCTTCGCAAGCATCGAGGTCTGCATCACAGAAAGTCCCGGTATATCCATTCTGACAAGTGCATGACAAAATACTAAATTTGTTCTCACTGCTGTCAGCACTATTTTCGGCATCGTCTTCCTCCACGGGTGTGCAAACCCCTTGGTTTTGGCATGCGCAGACGTTGATAGCTGGTTGTAAAACTGTACTTGTCGTTGCATCGGCCACTATGAATTGTATGTCAATCTGCCAGAAGGAGTGATATATTTTCAAACGAGGCAATATATTAAACTCACATGATATGTTGCCAGGTCTAACAATGAGTGGAAGGCGATAAATTAGGAACCAAGGATAGGCCTATTGTTGCTTCTTTATCATTGTATCTTCCTCTCTTTCCTCCTGCTTATCAGTTAATACTCATTTCAATCAACCTGCTACTTCCCTTTCGTCCTGCTTTTCTCTATTCACTTCAACCTACGCCCTTATTTCTGTGTTTACCTTCTCCTTCTCTTCGCTTCTACCTTCGTCCCAAGTTCTATCAGTACTCATTCTTAAGTCACAACACTAAGTCACACAACCACATATCATAGCACAAAACGTTTTCTGGCAAATTCAAACAAGGTACCTTATCAGTGGTCACTTCCCATACAAGTGACATTGAGGAATCGGTGGTTGATGTTGTATGCCCCTTTGGAAGAGTCCCACTAACAGAGAAAGTCATTGTGTCATTGTTGGGATCCTGTGCAACAATCGTCACATTTGCTGTAGTGTTGACTGTAATGTTAAGCTCAGTTGGCCCTACCAAAATTTTTGGCGGGAAATTTTCTAAAGGATGAAAGAAAAAAATCATTTACTAGTATAAATTTGTAAGTTTCCTAGCAAAAAATGGTGCTTTACCCTCATCATCTATGGCACGATAGAAATCTTGAGTTTATAATGTAATTGTTTAATAGACTGAAAGAAAACGAATCATGATGATTAATCAAAGGCGACTTTGGACGAAGTTTACCCCAAAACAAAGCAATTGGATAAAAGTTTTTGTATCAAGGCGCCTAATCATTATTGTAATTACGTCTACAGACAGCTAAAACCTATTTTCGATTGCCTATTCTTCCAAAACTGCGCTGTTTTCATGAATGCTTCACCTTTTCATAAATGTACAAGAGGAAAAGAAGCTTTTGTGAAAACACGATGACTGGCTCTTTATTTAAAACCGAACCACTGAGATTCATGGCAATTTTCTGAGGGTGCTCCGCCTGACTAACGTCTACAACGTTTATAAATGGCTAGGTATTAATGTAGCTTTGTTTACTAACGTAAGTCTTGAGATTCACTTTCCAACTGCACTGCAACTTGCTTGGTGCTAGCTCCTACGGCAACGTCTCCGGTAGACGCTATATCAAACAAACAGTTGGCATCCCCGCCACATACAGCCTCGGCTTGCTGTTTCAGTTCGTCACTTGCAAATGGTATGGGCTCATCCAGAAAAATTGGAACAAATGATTCATTGACGAAAGAGCTCGTATTTTCCCCAGGTTTATAGGTGAAAAGGCTCGTGTTTGACGATACTTGCCCTGTAATATAGCGTCAAATGCAGTTTATAGAATACGACAACTAAATAAGCTAAGTATCGTGACTGTCTAGAAAACCTAGGATAAACATCAGAGTACAAATGCCCAGCTCTCCGCTTTTTTTGTTTAGATTTTTTCCTGCAAATTATCATGAATACAGTTGACGTGACTCAATGGCTTTGCAAGTAAAAAGTGATGTCTCCCTCGTACCTTTGCATATGTGTAACTTTTTGTCCAACAAGGCAAACGGAGGAGTACAGGCTTTCTTCGTTATAATATAGAAAAGGAAGACTAAAAAAAATCATGGGCTATAAAACTTACATTTCAACCCAAAGTCAAAATGTATCTGTCTGCCTGTAGAATTAGATGGTAACGTCGTGTTATCCGGTCTTAGAAAGTCGTCCACCACGTTGTCGTTCCATGTGCCCAGAAGGCCTTTGGTTTGACCTTTGAAATTGGTTGGGGCAGCAAAAACTATGGAAAGTGATCCTTGCACTTCAGTGATTGTTACAGATATTCCAGACGGAAAGGCAACGAGGAAGGAGTTGTTCTCTGGTCGGGAAACTGACACAGACCCGTCGAGAGTTATACTGATGTTTGTCAAGGTACTGTAGTTCTGGAAAACAACACCATCCACGAACACCTCTAAACCTCCTGGAATAAAGAAAAAGGAAGATTTAAAGGAATGAATCTCCCGCGAGTCTATTAGTTTATCGCTACCGTAGGTTATCCCGAATTTTCTATCATTTTCGGAAGATCGATCGTTTGACCCTCAGTTAATACTAGCTTACTAAGGTTATCACAGTGTTGTCCCGGAAGCGATCATCTGTTAGGATAGGAATTTTCTTCAGTTTAATTCACAACACATATTTGGATCAGAGGTGGCAACGAATCAAAAGGTAAACATTTTAAAGAAGTTCAAATGGAACTTTTAATCTTATCACCATAAACTGGTACAATTTGCTATAAAAGCTTCGTGAATGTCGATCGCTTAGAAGAAAGGAATTTTTTTTTTTCGTGAACGTATAACGTGGCATCTAAGTTAAAACGCAGTTGACTTTGTTATTACAATAAAACGTCCAGGATATCTTTTTTTTTTTTAACTTACCTTCATCTTTCAAATTAACTTGGACAGCGCTTGTATCTTTTTCTTTTGCCACTGCTGCAACAAAAATGGTTGCTGATCCTCCTCCTTTAGCAAGTTTCGTTCGAGCTTGCAACTGGAATGATCCATCTTGTAACTCCACCATAGTGTACTCCCCAAGCCCATTAAATGTGTAGTTTTGACCGTCTAAAGTAACAATGTGAGGATCGCCCCATAACCAGCCTGTAGCAAAATCAACACACGAATAACTTCGAGAGTCAGAGAATAGTAATCTAAGAGACTTGATAAAAGCAACATTTTTCTCAAGAGACGAGAAACTTGATTGGAAAAATTGCTCAATACGGATTTTTAATAAGGCTTATGTGAATGTTTTATAGCAAGTTACTTTTGTCCCTGATTAACAAGTTATGTAAAAAAATATATATGAATATGGAGGGCTGTTGTAGGTACATAGATAGTAGAGAGTGAAACAGGGTTAGTTAGTCATAGCAAATGCAATATCACTTAAATAGCCTTTACTTTGTGACAAGCAAAGCGAAAGTGATACCTCATGAGATCATGTTTACTTTGTTTACCTACTAAGTGGTTCATTAAATGCCGTGAAGATGATTGATATCGATTTGCCAAAAGTGGCTGCAAATAGAATGTTGACAAGGTACAGCGGTTGTCCATACTCCAACAAGTGAGAATACTTCCATTGGAATGAAAGAAAATACAGAAATAAACAATAATAACAAAAGTAACAAAAACTTACTCCAGACAGGTGGCTCATATCCATCACATCCCTTAGATGGCCGTAATTCATAATACTTGTTACACAAAAATGGATTCTTAGCCTCTAGACAGCAGTGGCGGAATCCGTAGAGATCACTTGCTTCGTGTTGTTCTTTCAGTGACGTAGTGAGGCTATGGTATCGGTGAAGGGAGCCTCCACCAGGGAATCCAATGATGAGAGCTGCCAATTTATCTAGGGTTGTATAGTAGCAGCATTTGCGGCCACGTCCTTGTCTGGGGAATTTTGTGTAAAAACAGTAGCTGAAGGGGAAATCCGCCTCGACCCATTCATATCGATCATCGAAGTATCCTTGCACTCCGGTACAGGGACACGGATCTGGCTCTCTGCTATAACCGAACACATATCTCCTTTCTTTGGCATACCAACGTAAGCACTTCAAGTCGCTGTCTTCTTCTCCATTCGAATTTTCAAGTCGGAAGATCCATCTTCCAGGTATCCCAGCATTTCCAGCAAGATTATCGATAGCTTCAGCTTGAATAGTTCCTGACCTGTGCATTTAAGTTATTATGTTGAGTAAGAGAGAGTTGACAGTTATCTTGCAACAACTTTTGTAAGCAGAGTAGTTCGATATTTAAAGGCTAACGTGCGACAAAGATGCATGAAAATGAATGGAGTGGAAGTAAGAGCAATGATAGTGGATATCCTCTATACCGAAGAACCAAGTCAAAACTCATGGCCATTGCTGATACCATTGCGCCAATTATAAAATAAATTGAAATTTATGAGAGAAATTAATAAACAAACAAAAAGCTTTACAAGTATTTGGTTCAACATCACGTTGTTTTAAGGACTGCAATAATTTGCTTCTACACGCTTTAAATTCGTTTCTCGTCTTTATTGTTAATCTCGCCCATATATCGCCCCCCTTCGAACCCAATCCTACCCGAAGTACAAACTTATCTGGCGGAGCACTTGAACTCAGTCAAATATGTTGGGGTGGCATCGCAGAGATAGACTTTAAATGACTTTAAACGGCGGGCACTATCATTATTCTTCTATGTGCGTGCAAATTCGCCTTCCTGGGCTAGCTTTTCTAACGAGAATTGTGATCTTTGAACATGTTTTCAAGGCAAGAAAGGCAAATATACATGAATACAAACTAATAGGAATCATAGGCCCACAATTTATGAAAGAGATCTCAGAGACCCTCAATAAAAATTCTAAGTCATTTCCCAGCGCTTTGTGCTTACCGCGACAAAAACCGATCAGGGAAAAGTCCCGCTTTCCCTTAAAGAAAGGTTATCTCTCATACCTTGGGTGATTAAAGTAATTGTTGTCTCTATCACCAGCATTCCAGCCAATAACAGGCAATGGTTTATAGTCGGCGAAATATTCGTAATATTCACTGGAAACAAAAAGTGCAAAGAAATTAACATCACTTATGCAAAGAACAAAATGAAAAGGAGAAGAAAGTATTACCGAAACATAACCTTATTCAGATCAGACTAAGACGGTTAAGTATCAGTTTTACAGAACTTCAGTCTCCTGAAAATATCCCTTTATCAAAAGAAAAGAGCGAGTACGCAGAGAGGAGGGTGATGGCGATAGCCACTAACAGTTAAAAAGCTGGCTCACGGTTAACTTCCCTTTCTTGCGCTTGAAAGAGTATTTTTTCGGTTAACTTTTCTTACGACCAACTGATCAAGGCTAACTGATGTACAGGTATTACGACTCACCGTGTTATTGGTACAGAATACTGTATTCCGTCATGGGGGTAGTTAAACATGGCAAAAGAGAATATGCCATCAGTAATCAGGAGAGCTTGAAATGTATTGTGCTGAAACAAAAAAGACCAAGGAAATATATGAAAAAGGTAAAGTTGGTTTAAAGTTATGGACAATTTGGCAAATCTCTGCAATTATTGGACATTTGTCTCATACAATCAAGCAATTAATAGATCGATAAACTATTCAGTCAATCAGTTCAAACATTATCCACAATGAATCAAGAGCTATATTTATCGTATTAGTCAATTAATCGATCAATTAATCATTCATTTGATAGATCGTTAGTCAATTAGTTGCTCAGATAAAGAATTAACAAATCTACAAATCAATCAGTCGGCCATCTATCTGGATTGGTTGGTTAAGAAAGGGAAACAATTTAAAAAAATCATTTTTAGCATCTTTTGGTTTCACATTAACAAACCATAAGACTATAAACGTTGTTACTCAGTGTTGCCGCGAACGGTGACTAACCATTTGCAATATGAAACGTTTAATCCACAAAGGCTTTGAGATAACTCACACAAAATTTTATATCATGAGCTTAACATTAAGACTAAAAAATCGAGAAACTGAGCGAGACAGTGAGGTTTCAAATCCGTGGCCTCGTGGCACCGTTCGAGGATGCCCACCAGCGCGCATACACAAAAAAACCTTAAATGTCTCGTATGGGTAACCAGGCGACGGCTGGGCGTGGACCAGCTGCAACACTCAGGTTGACAGACTATTGGCTTATGTTTACCATCTTTTGGTGGCTGCTCTTAAACCAATAAGGCAGAAAAGATTTGCATGTGTTACTCACCAAATTCTTATTGATATTATGTAAGACCTTGTGACGAATATCTTTCCACGTAACTACGAGCATCCAAGATGCATTGAATGTTTTTCCTTGTGGCAGTTTCCCGCCGAATTTACTGAGGACATCAGAAGTAGCGTTCTCTAAGATTGCTATGGAATCCGCCTGTCCCGCGTAATACAAATGATAGAAAACCTTCGAAGGACCACTAATGAACGACTCAAGGTTGGTCGGTGCCCAATAAGGAGCAACCATTGACACATATCTAAGCCAAGGTCTTTGACCAAAGTTGTATGACTGCTCATTGAATCCGTCTCTTTCGAACTGGATGGCTCCATTTGGACATATCTAATGTGTTAAAAAGGAAGCAGGAAATAAGCCTAACCTTGAAGTTGCCTGAGCTTACTACGCGATATCTTGATTAAAAAGCTATTCAATAAAGGCTATTCAACCCAACGCGCGAATTATTGAGATTGAACGGCAAATTCGCTTGTCCTTGAACACATTTGTGGCCATTTCAAGGAGAACTTTATTTATTTATCGTTACTTAAACACTTAACTTTTAAATTTCAATATATTGAGGTAGGACTATCTATAAATGACCATAACGTCTATATGCAGATTGAAAGAATTATTTTCATTTCAATAAGAAGAACAACACACGTGAGAAATTTCAATAAACAATAGTTCGAGTTATTCTAGCACAAAATGGATTGGACGCCGTGTAGGTTCCTGTTGTGGAGAATTGATCCTTATCTGTGAATGCCTGGAATTATGGGTTAGAAGCTGCAACAACTGTCCTTCGAAGGAATATTGTTTTTGTGGAACGAAGGGAAGTAAGTAGCAACTTGCTAATAACTAGAAAAAAAGATAACGTATGAAGATTTTCCCATATTTTTCGAAACGTTTCCCATGGACAGAGCCATTTATTTGAATTCCCACTTAAATAAAGTAATAAATTTTTGTGACCTCTCAGTTTAGTGACTCACGTGAAGTTTTCTGTGCCTTCTGTCATACAGCGGAAAACCTCCGGTGTCAAATTTCTCTCTGCCAATTCTAAAGCACCTAGTTCTTGACGTAAATGTAATGATTGAGTCTCCAGCGTCAACTCCGTATGGATACATCCGGTGGATTGGGGCTAAGAAAAATATAATCAAACATGTTTGCTAAGAGACCATAATGGATTCAACTATCAATTACAAAAGAAACCTTAGCAAGGAGGAGAAAGAGGACATTAAAGGAATGGAAAGAAAACTGAAGAGAGATCTTGAAATCATCTATGGTGAAGGGAAAGGAAATGCGAAGGATAAAAAAGGGAAAAAGAGAAAGAATAAAGAGAGAGAAAAGATTAACATTTTAGGATAATTTACCCGGTTCTGGAGGTTTAGTTGGCTCACCATTATCATCCAAATCTGTAGAGAGGCATGAAGCAGCAATTTAATTTTATATTTTGTCAACATCATTTACTTCCAAAAAATGCAAGAAGAATTTTTTCCTATGACTTACAGTAAGTGTCTGTATATCGGTATTACTACGGCAGTTTCACAAATCAAATTTTATATGAGACTACACAACACAACAACCTTCCTTAGCTCAGTGTTTGGGTCACCTTTGGTGCATGTAAACCTTGTCTAACGCCTGTCCAGAACATTGCATTGAGAGATGTGAAGTCCTTTGATTCGATTCCTCATAGAAGCATCAGAATTTTCTTTTTCTTACGCGAGCGAAAAAGCAAAAAACTCATTTCCTCATTAGATAACAAAGCACTTCACGTCGTAAACAATAAGCTTACCTTTTGTAGTAAAATGAGTTACCCTACTCGCGTAAACTTCTCCGCGATCGGTGTACCCAACTACTCTTACTTCGTAATCTGTCGATGGTTGTAGCAATACTAGTGTAGCTGACGGAGTTACAGTCTTTTGAAATCTCCAGATCTCTTTTTCCTTGACTGGTTTATAAAGCACATAATACTCTTCAATTTTGTCTACATCTTGGGAGGATTCCCAAGTCATCTTAACCTCAACACTTTCGGTGGCGCCAATAGAAGCAGCTGTAAAGAAGAAGAAAAGCTTTCGCGTCATTTTTCCTTTCACTCGCCTAAAGTCTGAGTCCAAGGCAACAAATAGTGGGTTGATTACTGTTTTTGCTCCTTCAGTATTCCTTACATTGGTTGACTGGTTTTAGCGTCACATGAATTTAATGTTACCCAATAATTTGAGTTATCATCAGGTAAGAAATGCTATTGTTTAATTTTGATATATTTTGGTTTTTATTTACTAAACCAGCAGCAAAATGCAACTAGAATATTGCAAGAAAATCTAAGCGAAAACACAATCCTTTTTTCAGGCGCTCTGGCAGGCAAGTTCGGCTAGCCAAATAATCGAAGTTGCATTCAAAACTTCTTATCCGGGATATTCAAGATCTGACCTAAGATCCTAATGACGTGAAAGTAAGAGCATGTTTGGGCCAAGAAATCAAGTAGTTGTTCAAACGATGAGCGTCAGGCGAGCAACCCAGGCCATTTTAAAGCTGTCTGTTAGGGCCCGTATAATACACGAACAAAGATCACCTCGCCTAACCACGCTAACCCGGATGAAAAGGCTTGCTGAGGTAATGTACTCTATGTTGTAGTTGGTACTCACTGATTTTGGACGAATCCGTGATGGCAAAGTAGGTAGAGGTGAAGCCTTTGAAAGCAAATCCATTGTTTGAGCGGAAATAGAGCAGAGCCCGGCGATGTTGGTAACTCTTTGCAGTCAAGGCAAAAGGGTCATGAAGTCCGCAAAATGGACCGGCAGCTACGTGTAATGGCTCAAGATTAAATAATCCAATAAAATCTGTTATCCAATTCCTAAAAGTAAAACAATGAATAAAAATTTACAGAACTTTCTCTTTCTTCAATCAAAATTCAGCACCGGCAAGGGGAAGGCTCGTGAAGGGAAGGATGGGCGTCCATTGGCCTTTCTTGGCTTTTTGCTTACGCCATCAGCAAGAATCTGAATAATTAATTGGAATATCTTAAACAACATACGTGCAATTTGCTCCTCCATCCGGTTGCTCTGTGTGAAAATCTTCGATCACAACGACCACATCAAAGACAGGCATTTCCTTCTCAAAAATCCAGTAACATTCCGCGTCGTTGGGATAGGTGTTCGGATATCCGGGAGATGATATGACGCGCATGTCACTGCGTATACTGGTTTGGCAACCTAGAGAAGCCAAAGCAATTACATCAAAACGTGCATAATGGTTCCCAGTGGTAAAATTAAATTCAATTTGACTTGCCTATCACAGCGCAATTTTAGATAATCAAGTCCTATTGAATTTTTCAAAGGAGATCCCACGCACGGTTGGCAATGAATTTTAAGTGACGGCCAGCTAGAGTACAACATGGTTTTCATTGGATATCTATGTATTTCAATAGGTAGAAATCATTTTTTTGTATTTTTTTTTGTGTATGAGACTTAGGATAGGAATTTTTTGATGAATTGTAGGATTATTTTGGTTTTTATCTTTTCTGGCAGATTGTTTTATATTTCTGCTGCTCTGTATTGTAATGAAAATGTTTCATAATTAGTCCTAATTTGCTTGTTAGCTTGGTTGGTAGAGCACTGCACCCGTATCACAGAGGTCATGGGTTCAAATCACGTACAGGCCGAAATTTTTTTCAGGACTTAATTTCACTAATGCTTAAGTAGTGTTAATTATTGCGAACATTGCATTCATATCCACGTAACATAACAGTATAAACTATTCTTGCATTTACCCGGTCTGCTATGGGTACGTTCGCTAAAAGGTCCCACTCCCACAGCAGTGAAGCCAGCAACCATCAGTTCATAAGTCTCGAAATTGGTCAAATTCCCAATGCTTGCTTCAAAGGCAGTATGATTAACGTCGATGAAGAAAAACTGGTTGAGGTCGAGCTCGTGGTCATCCACATGGCCGTCATACAAACGATAGTAGACGCGGTAGCCAACTAATACTCCGTGGATGTGATCACTCGGAATATGCTTCCATGTGACGATTATCGTGCCGTCGTCAGAACTTGCTTTGACGTCTCCCGGAGGCTTACTCGGAACTTGAATTAAAAGTAACATATTTTGATAAGACACACCAGGTTAGGTTTTTCATGTCGCCAAAAATAACAAAGATCGCTTTGGTGGACCTGGGAAGGTCTACATTATGACCTCTGAAAAATAATGATCATCAGGATGGCTAGATTATTTTCGAACAAGAGTGATTGACGCAATAAAGCACCCAGAATCACTAATCCTCGTTAGGTGAGCAGTGAGGTGTGTGAGGCTGGCTTTCACCCATTTGAAAATAAATGATTTACATCCCCGCCCCAACCCCATTCCCACCTTCCCTCTCTAGGGCTTGATCTATTCCGAACATCTTTAAACAAACTGCATTCATCTTACCGCCTTCCTTAGTTGTGAAGGATACTTTCTCACTTCCTTTAAAACTCATCTCGCCAAGTTCACTTTTGACCAATGCAATGACCTGGGCAGTATAATCGGTATAAGGCCGTAAGCGCTCTGCAGTTGAGTCATCAATATCCTTCACCACGGTTGTTATGGATGGTCCAGCCTCCTGCAAAGTTGGTGTGCAGACGATTGCATATAATACAAGTGTCTCTCCTGCACCTGGTGAATAGTGTGACCATGCGATATCTGCAGTCGACGAGGCGACATTGGAAGTTGTTATTACCCAGCCTGCTTTAAGTTCAGCTACGAGTTGAAAAAAACCGTTTTTAAAACAGGAAATTTAATGTTTTTCAAAATAGTAAAGGTTTCCTATAATACCTAAGTATGCCAGAAATGTCGTAAAGACTCACAAGCACGTCATAAGTGTAGCATTTAAGAATTGATTTTCTGCTCAAAATATTATATGAAAAGTGAAAGATCGTTTTGTTCTTATCACTTTACCTTCTGAGACAGAATGATTTAGAGTCATGTAGTGCAGTTGAAATCCTATTCTGTCCCCATGAATTTCGCGTTCGGCGTGGGAGAGAAGGAGCACTTTCTTTGCCTGCACAAGAACGTCAAATGGCTCCCTAGCACCGCAAATCAGCTCAGGTTCAACGCCACTATTATCCCCTACAGCTGCATAGAAATCTCTGTAAGAAAATCGAATGCATCTTATGGTGAATATTTTTGTAGTTAAAACTAAAACAACAAAAGTGAACCAAGAACTGATTTGAGTTGATTCAAATTGCGTTTAATTTTGCTAAATAATTTCAGCACTTCAACAGAATTTGAACACGTGAGACTCCTGATTGGAATGCGAGCCCCTCTGTATCTTCTGCAAAAAAAACATTCGATACCGTCTGGGATGAGTTCACAGAAAACTTCGCGACTAAAGATCACATATTTCACGAACATCCCAATAATTTTCAAAAATTAAGAAATTATCTCATGGCCTGTACCCTTGCGACTTGGTGTCTACTTGATCTTCTGGTGCTATAATATATAAAGTCATGGAGAAAGTTTGAACTTAGATCACGATAACAATTTCATCATACCTGCATCCATCACTTTCTGGAAGGTTGAGATGCCCAAAATGTATAAGAACGCTTTTGTTTTTTGGGTGAATGTCCCATAAGCAATCACCATATGTGATCCTCGATGGAAATTCGCGGCTACGGATGAGACCATTCCTTTCATATAGTGGAGCCCCGCATTCTAAAAAAGAGTGCAGAAATCAATCGTGTGATGAAAATACAATGGAAACACAAACCTTTTTCTATATATTCCTTATCCCTCAACCTCATTCCATCAACTTTTTAATAAATCCCTGGGGCATTTCTTAGTCACTCACGATGACGGAAAATAAAAGAAATAATTAGAAAAAGCTTGGGTCCCTTCGGTTTTACTTTTTCTTTGAGACCTTCCTTGTTTTTCATGTTTAGGACAGGATACTCATCAATCCATTGGCATTTCTTCGGAAAGGATCTTGTTTGAACACCAATGGCCATTACGACGAAATAATTACTCTTAATCTTAAAAGACCATGAAGAGACCACTGTTAAACCATATGACTATTTGCCCCCCAACTTATGGGACTATGAGTGTCATAAAATTGTTTACCCTATGAGACATTTATCATTAAAGAGAAGGAAAATACACGAACGAAAGAGATTAGAGACCTGGTAAATGCTCCCGAAGTCTACTGAGTAACACAGTTGAGTAATGTTATCAAATAAAATCACATTTTAATAACAAGGAGTGACATCTCACTTGTCTTCACCCATTGCTCATGTCTCTGGTGACCTTCCCCAATCGATGTAAACGCCGTCACCCACACGCGGAATTCAGTTCCTGCGGGTAAACCTGTAAGCGTCGTTTCCGTTTCCTCCGGGCCAACGGTAACGCTATCATAGAAGCCTTGCGAGCAGTCATGGTTGTTGGCCTGAGTGATGTGCACTCGATATCCACGTATGATGCCGTGGGAATAGCGTTCGTCCACCCTATACCACTTGACCCATATTGTGCTGTAGTCAATGACTTCAACTTTATCGATGGACGGATTGCTTGCAGGTACTAAGACATAGCCAAGAACATAGATAGGATGAGCATACTATCAATTTTATGAAAAATTGAGTCAAAGTAATTGTTATTATAATATTTAAGGAAATATTATATCTTTGCGGTTGAAATGTTCTCTCACATGATTGACCCCTACACTTTCAAAATCTCATCAGTTATTCTCCCTACTGTCGACCATACAATTTCTAGGATGTTAGCTTGGAGAACTTGATGTTGGATCAAGTAACATTCCCCTATACGATATGTTTCTTTACTCTCATCACTTGCTGGTTTGATTTCATACTGATGTTGTAAGGGTTAATTGAATTTATGGTATGGCCGGAAACATTTTTCAAATTTCTTCTGTTCTACAATAAACGCAAAGATTATCCTTGCGCATTTGAAAATATAGAGACTCTTCTGTTATCAATTGATGGGCAGAAAAGCTAGTACGCTCTGTATTTTATCGTCACACAATGGAAGACTTTCGTGACCAATAATGATTCTCTACAAACACGAATTTGCTTTACCTCCTTCCGTAGTCCTAAACTTGATCCAGTCCGTGCATCCACGTCTCCCATCTTTTAGCACAGTTATAACTTTCAGGGTGTAATTTGTCGAAGGAAACAGCCACTCGTATTTCAGTGTCTTTTCCTCCGCTGTAACGATCTGCGGTACGTATATCCTATCAGACCACCCTCCCACTAAGACTTGGTAATAATCTACAGAAGAAAGGCTGATAAAGCTGCCTGGTGGCTCAGGCCAGGATACTATGACAAAGGTCTCGCCAACGTCCATTTGAAGTCCAGACCATGATTCAATCACTTCCCCTAGTTGTTACAAAAATGACAGATATCGAGTGTATTGATTATGGGATTGCATGGGTTCTGCTTTTCATCCCTTTGTGATGAGTCTAGAAGAAAATCGCGCCTCCTTTGCAATCAAACAGATGGGAAACTAAAAGCAATTGCGACAGGGTCAGTTACGTTTTTTGGCACTTTCTTCAGTTTAGCTAATTTTACCACCAGTTCTCATTGACTCTTTGAGATAACTTGTTTTGCTTTGATTGAAAACTCGACGCTTGAACGAAATTTGAAGAAAGGGGTTAAGTTTCTAAAGAAACTGTGGTGATGCGTTGGTGGGAGAGTATAGCATGGTAATTAAGTATTAATATTATTAAAGAGTTTCAAAGCTTACGTCAGAGCGACAAAGGATTGACGCTCCAAACGTCAACTGTGAAACCCTTTACGGTGGCCAATTAACGTTATCAGCTCAAATGATAATACAAAATAAACCCGAGATTCTCGAACACGATTTAAATTAAACCCGCTGTTTAGATGAAAATGGGAATCCTTTCGGTCACCATAAAAATGCTATGTGCAAAGCGAATGAAATACAGCTACAGTATGTTTCTTTTGTAATCTGACAAAATTGTTTCTATAAACATCATAAGAATATTTTGAGTGGATACGAACTGCACGTTACCTGTCACAGTGGTAATCTCGCCTTTTACAACCTCATAGTCGATCAAAAATTTGGTACCGTTGCGATACTCTTCCCCGTAGCGGTGATATCCAAACCCCGCTGCTCTAAGATTGAGAACTTTATCAATTACCAGTATAGTCAGGTTTTCTGGTATATGTCCACAAAGGTCAGTTGCTTGGTTTTCATCGTTTTCTGATATGCCAGGAAAGTACATCCTCAGCTGACCACTACAGACATAGAGGAGAACGATAACTATGATTTTTTTCTAATCATCGGGGGAGTGGGGGAACGGGAACAAGGGGAATCTACGTCACAACACATGGCAGTTCAAAGCTAAGGACACGGGCTGGATCCAGTTTTTTAATTATTAACAAGTCCTACACTCAGGGTACAACTGCAACTTGAAAGCGAGTCTGACTTATGCTGCACCGGTTCGCAGCGAGATTTAATGGAGATTTCGCATGCCGAGTGGTCAATTTTCTCACACATTTGACGTAATGTTCTGTTACCGCGACGCGTTGGAGACGGATCCATAACAAACAAAAGAGAAATTTGTTATGAAATGAATTTCATTTGACTTGCAAATTGAAAATCAAACAAGGCGGGATTCGAACTCGTGCCTCCCAGATTCTATTTACTACCTGCTACTACCTGTATCCCAAATTGTGATCGCAGATTTCTTCACGGGAAAGAAAAAATGCTCCAAAATTTGCCTCGCTACCAACGTGTTGCTTCGTAGCTCAATTTTTTTATGTGTGACGAGGCTAACTCGTCGTTATGGGGACAAACTGTTAGAAGATAAGATTGCAATGCGGTGGAGCCTCCTTAAACCCCCAAAATTAGCGTTATGTAAAGCCTTTACAGATAATTGAATGAACGCACTTGCATCGGTTTCCTTGATCTCTGCGACCAAGGAAAAAATGTCTGACGGTGAGGAATATTCCCGACACGCTAGACTTGGGTGCAATGTTCCAGTAACATTTCGGGTTTTCGTCCCACTGATCATGACCAATATACGGAGTACCAGGATAGTTAGGACTCATAATCTGGCCGGCATCTGCCGTCATATCATCACCACAAACTGAGAAGCAGAAAAATATATCAATGATATAGTTAGAAGTACCTGATTTAAATTCTTTTAAGATGGCTTGAGAAACAAGTTAGGCTTAGCGAAGACATTATTGGTTAAGGGCATCGCTACTTTTTTTTTAACTTTCGAAACAAGCAAGGGGAAAAGAAGAGCGATGATGGAGAGGAGTTGGAAGGGTCGATAAAAGAGCAATTAGAGGAGGAGAGATGGAAGCATAAGAGCAAGTGGATGAGGGAGAGGAGAAAAGAGAAAAAAGGGAGAGAAAAAAAGTTGCAAGTAGGAAACAAAGAGAGCTTTGAATCTTGGTCTGTACTGCTTCCGTAAATATTTATGATGGGAATCAAACGAAATACTCTAATTCCGTTTAATTTCCCAGGACCCAACTGATTGGTATTTATCCTTTACGATAAATGTTACATCATTTGCCAGATCATAACTTACAAGTTGCCCCAAATGATCCCATAACACCCATTCCTTTGCTTGTATATCCACCAATATAAACGGCATACGTGAGACTGTCGGTTAGATTTTCTAACGTGACTCTCCTAGTATCTGCGTCTACGTCCATAGTTTCTAAGTTCTTTGGATCACAGCAAGGACCGTACATGATACGATAGCCCAGGACTTCACCACCACGGTATCTCCTCTCGATTGAATTGAGTTGGAACGAAACGCTGTGGCTGTCCAAGTTGGTGGACCAGTCGTGAGGATAAGGAAACCTAAGTGGCACTTTGAATAATGTACAAAGATTTCAAGTTTTAAATTAAAAATCTCGCTCTTCATTACATATGACATAAAACTGAATAGCCGATTGTCTGTTTTTAGAAAGTCCCCATGACAAATTAAAGAAAACAAAAACGAAAGGTGATGTTAGTGGGTAGAAAGATAAAAGACTGATTAAGAAATTCAAACGATGAAAAATCAATCAAGGGGTACTATAGAGTAGTTTTGGTCACAATAGTAATAACAACTTTAGCTCTTCACAAAATAGGTTTAAGAGACAATTAATGAGTCTATACTCACTGACCGTGGCAATAAATGCCGTGAAAACATCGGTAACTATAGAGCTTTCTGCTATCCAAAAGGGAGTGGCAAATACATTAAAATTCAGAAACAGCTGGTTGTCCTATAACTTCTCTTCCACACTTCCCTTTTTCCCTTCGATTGTGAATTTTCAGGATATTTTGAATTTAAATGAAATTTGTTCCAGCATTGAATATTTTCTTAAAGGGTACCAGCAACATGAGTGAGGGAGCACTTAAATATACTTAGAATTAATAATTTTTCTTATCTGCACAAAAAACTTGAAGCATGCAATGTTGTCAAAATAACTTACCTCCCTCTTCCGTCGAGATCATAAGTTTCTCACTCTTGTAAATCTCGTTTTTTTTATCTACGATGTAAACTGTTGCTATAAACTTCGCAGCTATAGGAAGGTCCGTTATGTTAATGGAAGTCTCAGATGAGTTGACGATTTTAAGAAAACGAACCAGTTTCTTTTCGTTGTCATAGTGGTGGTCGTCGTCCTTAACGTATGGGGAAAGCTCCGTTTGGTTTAGGGATATGACAAAGAAGTTAATGTCGAGGTTGCCAGGGGAGCCACTCCAGTCCAATGAAATAGAACTGTTCTCTTCATTTCCGTTGATATTCCAAGTCACCTGTGTTGGTTTAGCTATTGTGCAATATGGAAGTTGTTAAGCAGACTTATTATGGTACTTACTTTACATCCTAACATCAGCATACATATCCGCCTTACTGTAAATTTCTTAAGGGCTCCTTAAGTTGATGATCATTTTCTTCAATCTCGTGAACTTAATTTGTGATTCAGAGGTGATATGTGAGGAGAAATGCGACGCTGGTCACTCTAAGAGTCGAAGGATTATTAGCAGTTACGAAGCATACACACGTCGGAAACATTTGAAGAAATAGTAATTTTTTTTTCTGAAAAATTTGACGTGCTGCGTCTGCGCTAAAAGGAAAGAGAAGATTGATTATCCTTACTTATTCAATTAAGAATTTTTGAGATAATTAAAAGTTAATTGTATTCAAGCAAAGGCAGTATGATGCAAATGATCAGCTCAGTCTTTATTTTTCATTATTTTGGGTGTTTTTTTTCCTCGCTTACGGCGCTAATTCTGTTCTTCCTAAAATTATGAATTATTGTGGAGTTAAATAACAGTTGTATGATATTTACATTGGGGAGCTCTGGATATCGCAACCCTGTAAAAAATTGCTATTGAGCAAATAAACTATTCTTTGTACTTGTGAGTAAAACAGAGCCTCCATACAACACAAAAACAATTCCAATGAACCGCTCTTGAAATAATGGTGACTTTGCCATGTTTTGTTTCATTGAAATAACATATCAAGGTGTCCCAGAAGCGAGAAAATATGGAATACCTGAATGAAGACCTCCTTTCAAAATGACAAGTTCAGTGAAAACCTTGCTTTCCATATTTTGTATCAATACTTCCGCGTGTATAACGTCCAAATCACCAAAAGGTATTTCATGTACTTCTCCAAGAACTGTTGAGCACTCTCTATGATTCAGAATGACGCCATCTTCCGAGTAGACCTTGGCGTATTCATAACTGAGGATCAAATAGACATCGGAAATATCAAAATCTTATCTCAGCTTGCGTTCTAGAAGGAAATGCAATACTATTATTCAATCCGAGACTAGATTGTTTAAGATGTAATATGCGTTTCCTGGGTTGACCGGGAACTGCAAAACGTTTATTTCCGTGGAATAATCATGGTAATAATATCAAGGCCGAGGTTTATAAAGTAAATGTTGGCGTTGGGGAAACCCTCCGTAGCTGGAGGTCTTAAGGTCGCTCAGTGAAATTGACGGCGTCAGACCCGCGAAAACGAACAGTTTCAAACCTCCATGGTTTCCATCACCTGACACTTCCAAGTCCATACAACACCTCCAGCTAAGGAGGCTAGGTTGAGAATAGTGAAGAATGAAATTTACGGCTGACCCCAGAATCCATATTTACGTTCTACCTCTGACCCAGACACAACCCCTGCTCGAAGAGCCAAGCAGTTACATGGATCTGTCCCCTTTTTTTTCCCTAAATTTTGTAACTGTGCTTAGGCGGAAAAGAATTTAGAGGTGAGATTTCACATTACCCGCAGGAATGAAAACGTAGATATTGCACCGACAGGAGTAGGACTGCATTGCTCACGCCATTGTCGTATATTCTCCATTTGCAACGATTCGTATCCCAGTCTGTCTTATAGAGGTTTATAACTGCAGCTGTTTGATTGATGACTCCACCACAACCTATATGATCATGCCATAAAAATGAACATTGGATTCATTTAAAACGCAATCATCCCAGGTGGCTATCAAACTCTTAAAAGTTGCCAGGCTTATTTTTAAGTCAAAAGTAGAGCGCAGTTTTAATGAAACGTTCCATGGATGCATCTCGCACACTCTTCTTTTCACACGTTCGTGACGCACTTTTTAAATGTAATTTTTTCCACGTACACTAAGGCTTTTAAATCTAGACTAATTGTACCTCCTGTGCGAGAAGCTATGCAATAAGCTTATCGGCTCAACAAGTCATAAATACCCCTTTCTGATGCTTTTCAGTTATTGAAAGATCAACTTTATTACCCCTGTGAAAATATCTAAAGTACACTGAAGCAAATGAACCACTAGCGCGTGGTAAAAAATTGTCAATACCTTTTCTTGTGCTCAAAGTTTTCATGACTCGCGCAGTTGGGTAGAGACAGTCAAAGGAACACGTATAGCTATACATTTAGTCACAGGGCTTCAAAATGAGACATGCATTTTGAGCAAAAAGAATGTTTAACCTACTAACTGCCTGAAAGTAATCCTTACCAGGAACAACTTCTATCTCTTCCGATCGAGGTCCTTCCTTGTCATTGAATGCAGTCATTGCAATCTCGTAGTTTTTCATAGTCTCTAATCCATCTATAATCACTTGTCTCTCTGATGCGCCGATAGTGATCTTCGTTCCTTCGTGGTCATGATGGTGATCTTTGTTTCTATAATACAAGTTATATCCCTGGAGAGGACCGTTATGGTGACTTGGAGGAATGGGATCGAATCTTACTCTGATACTGTGTTCGGTGAGGCTATCCGCGCGTACGTTCAATGGCGACATGCTTGGAGCTGGAGAAAAAAGAAAAAAATCATTTTCCATGGGAATCACTGAATTATTTAACTGAGACGTTAGCTAATATTTCATAACAAAAGACACGACTTTTGAGAGGGAAATTTGAGTGACTGCAGACCAGGACTCGTTTCCTACAGCTTTTATCGAAAAAGTTTGATCCCGAGCCCTGTCTATCCGCGGAGCCTGTTCCCTCCCAAAAGTAATCAAAAAGGTTTACTAGTTTGTCTGTGATTGGGTCAAGGAATAAATAACTGAGTGACTTTAGTTATCCGTTGAAAAGCTTGTGAAAAGCAAATACACATCCGCTTCTAACTTGTTTACTATTTCTTTGCGAGATTTTCACGGGGTATTTTCAAAATATCTAACGTTGCATAACTCATACTGTGTTAAATAACTCTGGCCTGAGAAAGATGCAATACTTGGGGTGTAGCATTTACGTCTACAGATTGGCACCACTGTTCATTAAACCACTCCACATTACACTGTACTCCTACATTCCCCCATCCTAAAACCCTCCTCTTCTCTCCGATTGGTTATTTCCTTCTTGAGATAGAAGGCCACCCTATTCAAAAGTCCATCATGGTTTGAAACATTACCTCCTTCGTCGGTCGTCATGCTGACGTTTTCACTAGTGTATATCCCAGCTTCCGCAAATGCCATAATCTGTATAAAGTATCTACGGTTGGGGTTGAGGTTCTCTACGCGGGGATTTCTTTCATAGGATGGAAAGGGGACCAACATCGACACGCGTTTGTGTGCTTCAGTGACTTTCACGAAAAAACTTTCCACGTGTTTATCGTGATGTATGAAATCATCAAACGATAATTGAGCTGTTGTCGGTTCAGTGTTATCGACTCTGAGCGACCAAGAAGGCTCGTGAGTTTCTTAAATAAAAAGAGGTAAAATTACTCAACATTTCATTACCGAACATCCAATTCTACAAGACAGCTTTTTGTCGTCAGTTTGCTAGTTTCTATTGGTTTCCTTTTTTCGTTTGTATGTGTATCGATATATTTATTTATTTATAGATATATTTTTTTTCCTCTACGTGTGTCCTTTTTTTCGATAAAATATGCCGGATAAGTAATCCGTCTCCACTAGGTATAGTTTGAAGCTGACAATGCTTACTGTTTTGTTAAGGCTGTTTATATATTTCTGGCCCCAGTTGTTCGAAGGTTGGATAACGCTGTCCACTGGCTAAATCTCTATCTGGTAGAATGCGCAGTGTACTTTTCTACCCCTTATCCGTTGGATAGCCATTTATCGGTTGGATAGCATCATCCGCCCTTTCTACAATTGGGCCTTGGTTCCTACTGTCCTTATTGCCGTTCATGTTGGTGTCATTGTTCAGTTGACTGGTATTCAAAGTAAACATTGCATTTGAAATGAATTTCATTACCGAAATGACGCACAACTCAATACCTGCAATATCATATTCTAGAGCTTTGTACCACGCAACAAAAGCATCGCCCTCGTTATGCTCTCGGGCATAAAACCCAATATCAGCTTCGTCATTTGATATTACAAGGTCAAAGTGATCCATATGACCGCAAAGTAAAGTATCATTATTGTAGCGCCCTGCTGTAACACTGAGCCATGCGTTCTTGCTGTGTGATAATGATAACAAAAAAAGATTAATAGTTGTAAAAAAAAAACTAATAAGAAAAAAAAGTAATAGGAAAACGCCAGCAATAACGTTCGTCTCTGTTCTCTCGTTACAGCATAGATATATCATCTGCCTTCCTTTTACCAATATTCTTGTGATTAGATAGATAAAGCGCTTTTCGATTAAAAGCAAAACCAAAATGACCAAAACGGCCAATCAGGAGATGGGAAAATACCTCTAGGAGCCAATTAGAACTCAAAGGTAAAGCAACTAATCTGCTTAAAGCGCGGGAAAACGCAGGTGACCCAGTCGTGATTGGTATTAGTTTTGCGTCCGATTGGTTTAGAGAGAGGCGACAGTTTTCCGGATCAATCTGTGATTGAAGTAAAGCAAAACCAATGCAACTGCTTTAAATTGCAATTAAGAAACCAAAGCTGTGGAACTAGGGTCTTAGAAAAATAGACTTGATAGCGCTGTGCAGTGCAGCGCGCCAACCGTTATGCCTCCGAGTCAGCCACGCCTTATATATTTGATATGAACTAAATCTTACATTTCCGGGGATTCGAAATATCTTTTTTATTCTCATAGGTATGCTGCGGTCTCCCTTTACCATTTCGAGTTCCAAAACAAATTTACCAAACAAAACAGAAGTCTGCGCTAAACACACAAGTGTACAACATAACAAACAAGCAAAAAATGAAAAGCAACAACAACCAACAGACCGCGACAACATTTACCTGCAGTATTCGTGACGATCCAAACGGAAGTTTTCGATTGTTATCCATATAACTTTGGTGGGGCCGCTTGGCTTGATGGTCCATCGACAGTATTGAGGCCCTCGGAAGCGACAGGGGTAGTTGGGACTGTAAATTGTTCCATTAACTTCTGTCAATTCTCTTGGTTCTCCACAAGCTAAAAGGCGAAGGAAGGTCTTTTTAGACTTATGGATTGAATGACAATTGATATTAATTAATAGAGCTAGCCATCAAATCACTCAAGAAACACATTCGAGCATTGAAATAAAGAACCTTTGGTAAGTTGTCTTTAAACTGCTATATAAGTCAACTGCTACTTTAGTTAAACCGCAAACATATTTATAAGATTGTGTCTTTGTGGCTAAGGGTAACTATTGCATAACCAAACAATTGACAGGGGGTTACTGTTTAACGATGAGAAAGACACGAAAAACAGAGAAATAAAAAAACACAAAAACAAACACAAAAACAAAACATGCCGAACAGCTTTCTAAAGTCTTTGCAAGCACCATTTTGGGAGCAATACTTTGAAAATTAGAACTTATGGTAGCAGCTCACGGGTAAAAAACTCCATATCCCTGTGCTCTCCAACTCCCCGTGCTGTAAATCCAGCAATGTATACTCGATACTTGGTTCCTGGCTGAAGACCAGTGATAGTATGGCTTCTAAAAGATAAATCCACTGTAAACTGTTCAATATGTTGAGAATGAGAGTCCTCTTTAAAACATTCTGGAAAATAGGTAATACTGTAGCCAAGAAGTTTTCCATTGTGATGTTCTGAAGATATATCAGACCATTCGATGAAGGCACTGCTTGCTGATAGGACTTTGTACTCCACATGACCAGGCCCTTCACTAGGAACTAAAACAAAATAACATTTTCTCATAATTGCACTTATATGGTTCCTCGTTTTCTTTTCTTAGAGATGCTTTTAAGTTCTTACCATCACCCTTTTAAGTGTGTTTCCGAGCCTGCGTGAAAGTGTAAGTACAAAACAATATGGCTTGGCTTGGTCTATACCCCTCAGTCTGGCTTGCCAACCGCTACGTCACTATTTCTCTCAAAACGAAGCAAATGAAAGCAAAAAATGCTTAAAGAAAAAAAAAATGAGAAGAATAGTCATCGGTAATACTCACCACCTTCCACCGTCTCCAGAAGAAATTGTTCACTTTTGTAAATTTCGTCATTTTTGTCAACGAGGTAAACAACAACCGCAAAGCTGCTCGATACCGGAATACCAAACACCTCCTCCACGGAATTCGACGAATTTACCATGTGCAGATAAACTGGAGGTCGCTTTTCGTCATCCCCGTGATGCTCCCCGCAACCGGGATTCTCTTCCGTGCTATTTAGAGATACTATAAAGAAGGAGGCTTCTTTGTCTTTGGGGAAACGAGACATGTCAAATATGACACTCCCGTCTTCAGTGTTGCTTGCTGTTACGTTCCATGGAGGCTGGAAAGAGGCAGCTGAAAAAGAAACAATTGATCTGGATCAAATGAGATTTTTATAGTAAGATACTCCGCTATGAGGTCCAAACCATTACCCTTTCTATAAACCGCCTATGACCAAACTCATTAATTTGATCTTTATTTATTTATTTATTTATTTATTTCTGCAGAGTAGAAAGGATATTGAGTCAACGATCTATTAGGCCAGGGGTTGTTTAACAAATAGAGAAGCCTTGGCTGTGCTCTGTTCTGTTATAAAGCACGCAGGAAGCGGCTAGAGCACGAAAGAAGTGTTGGGATAAACACGAGACGTAGTCTCAATTATCGGAAAAAAGCTAAAAAGAAGTCCCGGAAAAGGTCGAACATAGTACAATTAGCAGATGGCGTGACAGCTGTAGCTCAGCTCTATGCTCTATACTCTCATAGAGCACACTCTTTCAACCAATGACAGCGCGCGTTATATCCGAACTTTATTATAAAATACTTTAGGCTAGAAACAGAGAATATCCAGATCAGTTAAAGATAAAGAGACCCTTTTTTCATGTGTTTTAAATAAATAGGAAATGATTCCATTTTAACCTTTTCATACGGTGTAACAAAGAAAGTTAAATAAGGTAAATGAGGAATTTTTAGCAATGATCGACCAATTTAATACATTGCACTAAAGCAACAAGAGCAAAATGTAGCAAAGTTCACGTGTTCGTGGATTTTATCAAAAAACAACTTTTCTTTCGCGAAAACTATAAACATAATTCCAGTATCCTTTTGTAAGCACATTGTTTAAAAAAGATACGATATTAAACCCTCCCTTCACCCAGCGAGGATGATGAAATCCACTCAATTACGTTTCGTTGTCAGGGGAATCAGTCACATCCTCTGAAGAGGTAATTTTCTATAAAAGGTGCAGGGCTAGCTACCACGGAAGTCATATAGCAATATAATCATAGCTATTACAATTTCCTCAAATGTGATGGGCGAATTAGCTGCTTTATTTTTCACTAATAATTTTGTAGAGTTGTAATGGAACAGTGTAATCGGATAGTTGGCTGTAATTAGACACCTGAAAACGGACAGCGGAAGAAACTGTTTCAATTTAGACACTGTCTCTACCGGAGATATTTTGTCCTAAATGTATTCTTTTTTTTAACGGAAATTGTAACGGTTATGATTAATTGGTAAAAGGACTTCGTGTCGTCCAATTCTGTCTGTAATAATAATCATACCCTTTGGGGTCGTTCGACTTTGTTAATCACTTGTATGATTACAGGCTGAATTGGACTTCACTCGGTCCTGTTACCATTATTCACTACAACATATATGACAAGTGTGTTTATTTGCATGAGAATAGCTGACGATGCTCAACTATACCTGAATACAGAGCTTTTCCTTGTTCCAAAAGAACGAATTCTGATATCACTTGGCTTCCTTCGTGTTCTGTATGAAGCTTGAGGGTCAAAAATTCAGACCCGTCAAAAGGAACCTCCACTATATCACCTTTTACCGTTTCATAATGACAACCATCATAACTCCATAGCTCGTTCCCATCACTTCCAAAAATCTTGGACGAAGATCTGTTTATAGTAAAGTTACACAGAAGATGAAAGAGTTTGCAGGTAAAAATGTAAGGTGAGAGGCAAAGTTTATTTGGCTCTCTGTTTCCGAGAGGAATCCTCATAAATTTATCTGAATGATCTCATAAATGATATTTAATACCATCAACAGTACAAGTCTACACAATTAGCACTACGAACATAATTGAAGTAGACATAAATGAGATTTACGCCAAATCATTATTTATCGCCCAGGGTAGAGGATTTTGGGAGGAGGAGAGAACATGGTTTTTAGGGGAACGGATGGAGGGATCAATCCTCTCCAACAGAATATAAAGTGAGGACTATAGAAACTTGGCTGCCAATTAACTTCCAATAAGGGGGTAAATGTAAGAATGTACTAGCCTTATGGGGATCAGTAAATTTCATTGTGACAATTAAAATCCTCCTTCCTTTCCCTTGCACCCCGTGCGCCCACCCCCCCCCCCTGTGCCCCCCTGTGCCTCCCTACCCCCTAAGTGATAAAAAGCGACCTGTCACTTACTCGCAAGATTTAAGTTCCACATATTGTGCAGATATGATCATCACGGGGTTGATAAGGCCAGGGTTGTTAATCTTCCACGAACAGTCTAGTCTTCCATCCCAGCTCCATTGCGTAAGATTAAATGCTCCAAAGTAACCATGGAAAGTTCCGCCACAACCTAACAAAAGCAATACATTATTAATTACGTTGATAGGATCAAGGGAAGTCGAATTCTTTTTATCATTCCACAAGTTATGGACAAAATTTGACAATTGCGATGGGGTTCGATTTGCTAGGCAAAAGTAAAGTTACGGACAGAAATGGAAGGCGCAAAGTCGGGGTAAGAATCTATTAAAGATAAAAGGTGATAATTCACCTTACTTCTCAATAACATGAACCCAACAAGCGTTGTTTAATCATGCAAGCTTGAATGTTTAAACTGTTTAGCACTCTTAATAATCGGCGGCTGTTGATAGCCGATCGAGCCTAAGAATTTCGTTTTAATTTTGATGAGAGCAAGCATTGATTCGCAAAAGAAGTAGAATGATTTAGTGAATGGTTGAATTGCACAAGGATTCGTGTTACCTGATGAAGTGTAGTGGGGGAATTATTTCTTGAAAGATTGGAAAAATGAATAAGTCTTGGATGAATTTTTTTGGTAGACATAACGCATCTGAAGGATGTATGCTTTCAGTATAAAATACGTATATATATAATTATATTAAAATACGCAGATCAATTAATATGCATAAATATATAGATTGATTCTTGTTCACTAATAATGCAATGAATAATTAATTTCTTGTTTACCAATAAGTACTGTTTCCCAGTCTGATATCGGTCCATCATCAACCGTGAATGCTGCAACCGCGATCTGATATTTTCTTCCTCCGTCCAAGCCTTCGAGAGCGAGGTGGGTATCCGTGGAATTGACCCTGATAACATCTCCCATGTCCCCGTCGTCATGGCCCCATTCATAATGGTTTTTCCATACCCTGATATGGACCTTGTATCCAAGAAGCTTGCCATTTGCATACTTTGCTTCAAGAGGATCCCATGTTACTTCGACACCGTTATGATCCAAGAGTTTAACGTGCACATTTTCCGGTGCTCTCGATGGAGCTGAAAGGTGAAAAAGATCATTTTTATCAAAGTTCTGCACATTCTAACATCACTTTCACTTTGCACATGCGTGAAACAATGCTGACCATATAACGACAACAACAACGGTACTTTATTTAAGGGTGCTACATCAAGAACCACAAGGCTCGTAGAACATGTGCATGAGTGTAAATACATCACAAAAATAACAATAATGAGTAGGATAATAAAGACTGCGAAGATGTAAATTCTACCATATACAGCTACGTTTTACCAAATTAACAGTATGTATCGGCACAAATAGACTGGAAAATGATAGGGCAGATCTCTATTCAATCTTTGCACGAGTGAACATTAACAGATGGAGCAACTGAAATTATTCAAAGAAAATCTGCCCTTACACTTCAAAACATAAAAAAAATTTCCGAAGCGGACTTTTTCTCAACCCTGTGTTGGAGAGATCGCTTTCCAAGCAATTTTAAAGAAAAGAAATAGTCCTAAAGGAATAATTCCTATGCGATCCTTTCAGTGGTAAATATATTTCAAAACATTTGGTTTAAAGAAAATTCAATCACAGTTCTATTTCCTTACCTCCCTCTGGTGTTGTCACTGAGTCACTTTGACTAAAATACATTTTATCTTCCGTGAAAGCGACGACATTAAGGACATAGTCGCGGTTGGGCAAGAGCATGTTCTCCAGGCGGTAGGATTTTTCGTGTTCACTAACAGGTACCATTATGGAAACATTATCTTGAATGAATCTTACATAGAGGCGATGAACGTGCTCATCTGGGGGAAAGTCGCCCCAAGATAGATCAGCTGACGATGAATCTAGACTCGACGAGAAGCTCCATGAGTCCAGATAGGTCTCTGAGGCGAAAGAAAACATTTGCAGTAAGACTTATCCATACCTTTTTGTTCTGCTTTGCATAGGTCTGTTTGTTTGTTGAATCTATTTGTATGCTTCTAACTGGTTAATTTTTTTTCTTTTTATCCTTTTTATTTCGGCAGGAAAAGATAATTAGAAAAAAAGATGACAAATGATATAATGATAGATATATGGAAATAATGATACTAAATATGATCATAACCGAGCGCACGGCTGATGTCCGTGTGTAAATTTCTGGTGCGGGATAGATTTTATTCTTCGGAGACACTTTCAACAAAACACTGAGGGTATCTGACAAAATTCTATACTCCTGGGAATGAGGAGGAGCAGGTAACCTATGGTGGACAGGCAACCCGTTAATAGTAAACTATCTTCATTAATTACCTCTGAGGATTGTTGTCTAACGTGATTAATGTATGGGAAAAGATTGTGGCCGAGGCATTGAGCAGCTTGGTGCGAAAGCGCCAGCTGCAAATAATGTCGCAAAAAGGGAGGCAGTAGAGTAGAAAATTCCTTCTAACGAGCAGGGTTGTGTACTCCACGGCCGTCAGAATTCTGCGGCAAATTTATGAATGAGAATAGAATTGCAATTTTATCCCGTGGGCAGACTAAATTGATATTTTTCAAAGTAACTTCAAACCATATTAGGCATGAGTTCTTCTGATTTGAATTAATATCTTGAAAAGGCTGAAAAAAACCTCCCCTGATCAATCGTAGGGCACACACCTTCGATCTCGTCAGAGAGTCCGTAGTACAATGCGTTAAAACCATGACCATGTCTATAATCCTCTCGTCCTTGAGCGACGAAATTAACATCTGCCTGGTCACTGGACACGATAACATGGAAGTGATCAAAGTATCTGCATACTAAGGAAGGTGTGCCGCTGTCTCCCGTTGAAATACCAACCCAATCATTCAACCTAAGAAGAAGGAAAAGTTTTAAATGATTAACTGATAACGTCATAAATGGATGGTCAGCCAAAATAATCAACAATTGGTTGTTTGTAGAAAAAAAGACTGAGGAAGAATGGAAGAACACTAAAATGATCGTTGAGGGAAAATAGTAGATTGTATTGGTACCGAGGCAATGAAGGAAAAATAAAAAAAAGCGTTAAGCCTCTAGTCGAGCCACTAGGCCCAAGCACCCAGAGCTTATCCCGATTTCCTAGGCACGAAGCAAACCTCCCACCCCCCAACCGTGTGGGATGTCAGTCTATTGCAAGGTTATATCCCTTAGCATTTCATCGGGCTTCCCTGAAAATTAGCCGGTACCCATTTAAACCTCTGGGTAGAGAAAGGAACTGCGAGAGTCTAGTGTTTTTCCTAAGAACACAACACATTGACCCAAGCAGGTCTAGAACCCAGACCTCTCCACCCGGAGTTCAGAGCACTAACCAGTAGGTCAACACCAATGAGGGAAAGGAGCTAAGTGTACAAGGATAATAAAGAAAAACATTAAGAAGAAAGGACAAAAATAAGCGGAATATCAAATTGCAACCATCTGTAATATTTCTAGTCTTGATCGTCTGCAATATTGACACGAGGCAAGCGTAGCCTAATTTATGGACGAACCGCTCCAATATAGACAGATTCTCACCAGCATCCTTTGTCATGTTCATATTCCTCCAGACGGAAATCGTAAAACGTCATCCATATGTTCTTGACTGGCTCACTGACATTTGGTGTAATAGACCAAAGGCAATTTTGTTTCCCGCCGTATTGACAAGGTTTATTAGGGCTGTCAATTGTCCCGTTGATTTTAGTCAGAATGCGTGATTTCCCGCAACCTTATGAAAGAAAAAAATAACCTTCGCTAAACAGTGACATTCAGGTCAATAAATCACGTATTGGTGGCGTTTTGGGGATTAGGGTTCGATGGGGGCGGAGAGGTATTCGTATTTTCATGTAAATCCGGCTTTTTTTTCTTCCACTGACGTCCAGCAACGTTGAACGATCACTTTGAATATTATGTAGACCAAGTATTACTTTCGTCGAGAGAAAAATAAATTTCAGAATCAAGTCACAAAATAAACAACAACGATTGATAGATTGACCTAAATAGAAAATTAAATCACCCATAATTAACTTCTGCTATCAATTAATCTTAAGTAACCTATACCTGTGAGGAAAAGTGACTTTGACCTCAAGTTTTACACTATGTCCTACTTATTTTGTGTTTTAAATTTTACTTTTTAGGAAAGTCCTGGGTTTCAATGATGAATTCTTTTTTTTCCTGAGAAGCCCATTTTATACACTTTAAAATGACATATTGTAGGTGTTATTCCTGTAAATGTTTGTTGAGATATGAATTAAAACTGAATGTGGACAAATTTTTGCTAATTTTTTTGGAATGACATGGGTGCACATAAAAATTCATAAAAAATTCATTATTTATTCTTTTTCTTTCAGATTTTCAGGAAATGTTGCTGACATGTTAATAATTAACTTCTGCTATCAATTAATCTTAAGTAACCTATACCTATGAGGAAAAGTGACTTTTACCTCAAGTTTTACACTATGTCTTACTTATTTTGTGTTTTAAATTTTACTTTTTAGGAAAGTCCAGGGTTTCAATGATGAATTTTTTTTTTCCCTGAGAAGCCCATTCTATACACTTTAAAATGACATATTGTAGGTGTTATTCCTGTAAATATTTGTTGAGATATGAATTAAAAACTGAATGTGGACAAATTTGTGCGTTTTTTAACCAGCAGAAGTAGGGTTAACCAGAGCTATAATTGTCTGTCATTACTTACTTGTAAATACTTCTCTGTCATTAAATTTCCCGACTCCTTTCGAAGTGAACCCAGCAACATGTATACGATATTGCAAACCCGGATGAAGATTGCAGACTTTTGCATAGCGTTGATTTGGATCGTTGACGTCCAGGCTTCCATAATGTCTTCTTGGGTCGTCCTCAGAGAAACAACTGGTTTCATAAAAAATTCTGAAGCCAATAATTTTGCCATTTCTATTCTCTTCGGATATTTCATTCCACTTGATCAGCACGCACCCGTCAGCCATTACCTCGTAATACTCAATGTGAGGTCCTTGCCTGGGAACTATCAATCGTTACAAAGATGTAAATTGTAAAAATTAAGCAAAGAAGACCAGTTATGCATTATTAGCATTCTATGATTGCATAATTTCCTTGGTTAGAAGTAGTATGGTTCTTAGAAAAATACCGCAGATCCTTGATATGGTTTTTTTAATGTCCATTTATGTTTTCTGGTACCACTTTTCAGACCATAGCTGTCTTGCCTACAGGTGGAATAAGTGAGTTGCTAGGCGGGTATCTTGGTCACTTGGTATTACCCAATTAAATAAAAAGATGTACCTCTCGATGCCTGAATTTAGTAGAATTCATGTTACTTTGGGACTTAAAAAAGCCATACTGCGAAAAAAGAGTACTTACCTCCCTCATTAGTTTGGACAGGAAACAGAGGACTTTTATAAATCTCATTAGTCTTGTCTACGAGGTACACGGTGGCGGAGAAATTGCTCAGAACTGGCAACCCACGTAAGTCAGCAGACTCCTCCGTAGCATTGACCATGAACATAAAGTAACCTTTTTCATGTTCATTTTTATAATCATGATGGTCCTCTTCATTTTCTTCCTTTGTCATATTCAGAGTTATGATAAAGAAATTAGTGTCTATGCTGTCAGGGGAATCATTAAGATCCATAAGGACTCCTCTGGCTGTAGTGTTGTAGGGTATATCCCAATGAGGTGAAGGAAGAGCTTTAAAAAGAACCATGATGATTAGTAATGCGTAATATGCTCTCTGTTCTTAACCTATTCCTTCATTTCGTATCACATATGTATATGTAGGTCTCAGGCCCATTTGGAATGACTGAAGAAGCACGATGACGATCTAAAATCTAGAATTTCAGAGAAATAGCACTTTCCACTTCTCGTCTCATGTTCCACTTAATTGAATTTTCTCACCAGACTGGTGGGATTGAATAGTATACATTCAAATGGACGAGCAATAACACCATAAGTTAGATAAGTGACAAGAAAATAGCGTTTTTAATGGCTAATTCACCTGAATAAAGATATTTGTCTTGCTCTAAAAGGGCGAATTGCGATCTCGCGTAGCTCCCTTGGTATTCCGTGTGAAACTTGAGGGTCAGAAATTTGGATCCACCGAATGGTATTTGTTCTACGTCTCCAAGAACATGCGAGCACCCATTGTGATTAAAGATCTCAGAACCATCACTGCTGTAAATCTTTGTCCAACCCCTAATTAGAGAACGGTAACTTAAGGTAACTTTTACATGAGAGCTTCATGAAATACGCAGAAAGAATGTCCGAAAAAGGAAGGAAAAGAGGAAAAAGGTGAGAACACGAATATAAATAATTACAATAGTGAGTTAAGGCTCTAGTAGGATTTAATGTGAAAATACCTTATGTGAAAATATAAGCAGTTATGTGTGGCAGACTGTTTTTGATTAATCAAAAAGAATTGAAAGCATTTGAAAAATCACCAGAAGTTTGTCGTTCGACTCAATTCCCATGCTCGAGTCCTGTTTGAGAAATTAGCCTGAGCCTAAGCCAAGTGTAACAAAGAACCGCACTCCAAAGAGGAGAAGAGGGGTGTTGGAGGATTTAGGTGGAAATCACATGGTTTCAGTGAGAATGGAGGGAATGCCGGTCATCGCCAATAGAGTATAAAGGGAGAACTGTAGAATGTTGGCTGCGAATAAGGGGGGGAGGGGGTTGCTAGAATACTACAGAGCCTTCAAGGGGGGCTCAGGTAAATTTTAAGATGATGCAAACAAAATCCTCCCTCTCCTAGGGTGATAAATGATGATTGATCCCTTACTCGCAAGATTGTATCCGCACGTCGATGGCACTGAGATACAGAACAGGGTTTGTGAGGCCGGGGTTATTGATCCGCCATTCGCAGTGGAGTTGTTCCCAGCTCCACTGTGTAACGTTAAACACTCCAATATAACTAGTAAAATTTCCCTTGCAACCTAAATATGAATAAGTAAGTGAAAAATGTCAGTGCATTGATGAAAAAACAACCAAGGTCAGTAACTAGGCGTGACACTTTGCATGTGAATTAATAGCTGTAGCGGGTAAGTACATCAGGATTGCATGCATGGATGCATATCTATCTTTTTGCCGTTTAATTCAGCAAAATATGTTGGCGTTTTGTGGAGTCGCTGTATCCAACTTCAGCAAATGTAAATGATCCTACATTTAACCGATAACAGCTAAAATATATTTTACTTTGTTACTAATTCATAATGCACCTCCCTAATATATCTCTACTTCTACTTCTTCTACTACTACGACTATTACTACTACTACTACTACTACTTCTACCATTACCACTATTGCTACAGACACTGCAACTAACATTACTGAATTACTCCTACTTCTGTTGAAACTGCTGCTACCACTAAATTCAGCACCATTAACAATGTCTTTCATCCTAATCCCCTTCAAATCACTTACCCACTCTTATTGTTTCCCAATCTGATCGTGGCCCGTAGCCGATAGTGAACGCAGCCACTGCCACATCTACCTTTCGGGCTCCATCCAAGCCATGAAGAACAATATGGGTGTCAGGGAAAGTAACGTTAAACCTTTTATATTCTCTCTCATCATGATTGTAGTGGTCCCGAAGGTACACTGTATACCCACGTAACTGACCATTTGCTTGGTGTGGTGGGAGTTGATTCCATTGAACCAGGATGCTGTTCTGTTGCAGTTCCTCCACGTGTAAATTTTCGGGTGACTCGTTAGGGACTGAATTAAATCAAAAGAGAAAAGTGAAATCGATAAAGGCTCAGTCGTATATCGCAAACTGCTTTTTGCGATCGTGATTGGTTTGCCTTGCATTCATGTAACATGGAAAGTACCCGACACCCCCCTTGCCTCCCCATTAGAGAACCAAATCCTACCCTCAAATCAAGAATATTTGTAGCTTGTGGACTTTTCTATTCTATTTTTTTTTTCGGTAGTGTGAGACATGACTGCATCTTTTCAGTTTGTTAATTCACCCAGTGCCACCTCTCCTCATCATTATCTCCTCATCATTATTTGATTCTTCTGTTGATAATAATTCTCTTTAAAACACACCTCCTTCAATCGTTTGAACGGTAACATTTTCACTTGCATAGATTAAGCTTCCTATTTCTTCCCCCGTGAACGCAAGAAGATCAAAGGTGTACGTGTGGCTTGAAACCAGCAGCCGTTCCACACTATAGTGCTTGTCGTGGCCGTTCACTGGTAGAAGCACTGATACGTTGTCTTTTTTATCCGTGAATCGCACATAGTATTGTATGATTGACACACCAAGAGGAAAATCATCCCACTTCACATCAGCTGAGATTTCACTTGTGGTCACCGTTACAGTCCACGATAGCTGCGTTACTGGAATAAGACACAACAAAAGCTCTGAAATCATATATCCGAGTTCTGTATTAAGAGATAATGCTTGCGAAAGAGACTGTCTCGCTACTTGAATTTATTTCGTTATTTCTGTTGCAAAAAGCGACTGAAAAGGAATATATCCTGTCCTTATGGATAGTCTTCCTCCAGAATTTCAGTTTACTTATATCCATTAACACATCTTGGTGAAGGAAGGAATTGTGAGAGAGGTATCTGGTTCAAGAACACATGGTCATGATTATGGCCTAGGTTCCACACGATCCTTCATTCAAAGGTCTGATCTTTCAGAAATACGCGTCAGCAATTTTAAACGTAACGGTCATTTTAAGTGCCTCTATCTCTTTTGCAGCATACTCAGAACTCAAAATCTTAACAACTGGGTTCAAGTCCGAGATAATAGTACGTCATGGTACACACTTACCCTGAGCTATTAAATAACTTGAACCCACTAACCCCCAACCTCAACCCCCAACCTCAACCCCCCCTAAAAAAATAGCACCAACCCACAACCCCAATCCCCCCCTCCCTTAAAAAAAGCACACAGACATACACACAAGAGATATCCAAGGAAAAAGTGAAAGTGAACCGCGATAAGATTACCAGATCAGAGGGTTGGTTACCATAAAATAATATAGTATGCTTCCTCTTGGCGAAGTGGATGTAAAAAATTTTTCTCGATATCCAGACATACCATTCAGGTCTTCGTGGGATGCTATATACCGAGCATAAAATCCATCACCACGCCTGTACTTGTCCCTTGTATGAAAACTGATGTCTGCATGACTGTCCATGATAACAACGATGAATTCTTGCAAGTGTCTACAAACTGATACATCACTGATATTTCCTTTCGTCGAAATCCCAACCCAGTCATTCGATCTGTGAAGTGTAAAGTTACTGTTGAATACCTCATTAGAATATAAAAATAACAATCGGAACTGGTGTGGTTTGATTCTCACCTGCAATTGGAGTGATGCTCGTGCTCCTCCAAACGGAATTCTTTAAAAAACATCCAGATCACTTTGATCGGCTCACCGGTGTCTGGTGCGATTGACCAATAGCAATGTTGTACTCCTCCATACGAGCATGGCTGATTAGGACTCGCTATCATGCCGCTACTGTTTGTCAGCGTCGCTGGGTCTCCGCAACCTTAACGAATGAATTACGCACTTAATTTATTAATTAATTTACTTGTAAGGATTTTAGACTTTCGATCTCTGATTTTCTGGCAAAAGTCGAAGGTTGAGCATTGGAGATTTGAGTTCAATGACGCATCGCTTGATTAATCTATAAACTGCTTGATTAATGGAACGATCAATTAATCTTTGGATGTATCGACTCATTGATAAATTTTCGCTCGTTTGTTACTTTTTGCTTTTGTGTGTTTGTTATCTGTTTTTGTGAGCAGAGTCATGTTACATCTCGCGTTTGATTTACACGAAAACGGCTTACCAGCGTAAATATCATCTCTATCAGAATATTCTCCGGCTCCTTTTGACGTAAACCCAGCAACACGTACACGATATTGCAATCCTGGGTAAAGGTCGCATATTGTGGCACTCAGGGTATCTGGCGAGGTGATATTTAAACTTCCGGTATGGAAGATATCGTGTTCTGGGTAATGGTGGCAAGCAAGTTCGTAATAAATGTTGTAGCCTTGAATGACGCCATTGCTACGCTCCTCAGAAATTGGATGCCAGCTAATTTTTATACAGCCATCTCCGATGATCCAGTAATCGTCGATGCGGGCACCCTCACTGGGAACTAATATTAATGAAATATCCATTAAGACCACGAATGAGACATCAAGGTAAAAAACGAACAAACAACAACTAACTCTTTTATCGCCAAATCAAGGGTGCTTGAAATTAACTTTAGCAGGAAAACTGCTGTCTATATATGCTTTGGACCTAAGAAAGAAATTATCTGTGGTTCATTTGCCTTCTGACGTCCTCCCTACAGTCAAGGTTAAATAAAGAAATCGTAGTGCTTATTGATTCTTTCTCCAGTTCGGATCGAGCAGCTAACAGCTGGTTCAGACGTAATGGCACATTTATTTAGACGAAAAGGGTGCGTAAGAGTTGCTTGCGGTATCTGAAAGTTACTCTAGCTCTTAACTGCTTCATATCTAAATGTTCGCACAGCTACTTATGTGTTATGTGCTGTTGTGCAACATTTTCAACGCTTTAGCTGAACTGTTGTCCGCAAATAATTCCCTCATAGCAATATCTGACACATATTATCAGATTTTATTCACAATGGGGGGAATACGAAGCAGGAGATTGAGCTTGATGTCATGAATTTATCATCTACGTTATAAATTCTGTGAGCGATTCGGATGCTTAGGTTATGATGACTCACCACCCTCCTCTGTTTGGATTTCGATCTCTTTACTTTGGTAAAGCTCATGGGTGATTTCTTCAACGAGATAAACAGAAACAGTGAAATTGGTCAACGCTGGAAGGCCCATCACTTTTGCAATTGTCACGGATGAGTTCACCATGTGTAGATAATCCCTCGGCTTGAAGTCGTCATCATGATGATGGTAGTAATGGTGGTGGTGGTGGTCTTTGTCGTCGTCACCATCGTCTCTCTGAGTCTCGTTTATTGATATAATGAAGAAAGTGTCAACTAAGTTATCAGGGTGGCCTGAGAGATCGACAAGAACTGCCCCGTCGCTTGAGATGTTTGAAGTTATATCCCATTCAGGAGATTGATGAGCTAGAATTGTTGTAAAATATTATAGATTAGGTCAGGGCATTCGATTCCACCACGATTCGATTCGTTACCTTATTATTTGAAGAAAAGATTATAGCATGTATAAAATACCTATACAATACCTAACCGCCAAAATGTTTTAATGTATCGAATTAGTTAGTAATGACGTACTGCTTGTTCAATCAATCGATCCACTGATGATCTGCTGGTTTGTTTGCCGCTGTGAATGATTAATGGCTTGAAAGCTTACTGGTTGCTAATTGATTGATTGAGTGACTGATTGACTGACTGACTGACTGACTGACTGACTGACTGACTGATTTACTGACTGAATGATTGATTGATTGATTGATAGACTGACCAACTAATCGATCGATTGATCGATTTACTGATTGATCGATTGATTGATTAATTGATACGATAAGTCTTAAAAAGCAATATTTGTTGCAATTGAGGTTAGATTCTTTGGTTGCTTGTAATTCGAATTTTGGTAAAAATGTGACTCATGTGCAAGGGGACTTTACCTGATTTGAGAGATTTCCCCTCCTCTAAAATAACGAATTCCGATCTTACGAAGCTTCCTTGACGGTCTGTACGAAGCTTGAGAGTTAGAAAATCTGATCCTTCGAAAGATACCTCCACTATTTCGCCAAACACCCTGTGATCATTATGATCACAACCATCATGATTGTGTAACTCGGTGCCATTACTAGAATAAATCTTAGACCAGGATCTGCCAAAATTAGAAAGATGCATAGTATACAAGATTATTATTACTATTATTATTATTATTATTATTTTTATTACAAATAGAAACACTCCAACTCTTCGTACTGACTATTCTTTTTCTTGACATCAAAGCCAACCGCAAATCAAATGAAAACAAATGTAGACAATATAGTTTTCAACGAATTATTCTCGACAAGTGGTACATCATTCTATGAGCCACGTATCTCCTTGGGAGCACTTCAAGACGTAGGATGAAATCTGTTATTTTTCCGTCTCAGCCGCCTCACAAAAAAAATAAGGAGGAAGTGACACCAGAAGTATGCATGGTAATCTCATTAACTCAAATCGTGACATGACCAAAAACGGTCATATCATAATCAGTGATTTAAATAAGGCAACAAAACATTACTCCACGTTTTTTATTGATACGTTACCCGCAGGACTCGAACTCGACGTGAAAAGCGGAGATAATTAGAACAGGATTGTCAAGACCAGGGTTGTTCAACTTCCAGGAACATTCTAGTGATTCCCAGTCCCACTGCTTGAGTTTAAATGATGCAAAATACCCATCCAAAATACCTCCACAACCTGAGAAATACAGGATAAAACCATCAGTTATATTATTGGAACTCAAAGCTTGATTTGGCTTCCTATGCTGGTAACTGTACTAATGGATGAAATACCAGCGATACTATAGCAAAATCATGTCGACCTTCGCCTCTTCCTTCCCCCCTGAAGGGCTAATTGATTTCGAGTACGAAAAACATTCCAGTTTCAGCTCGGAGGTGTGGGGGCACTTTAAGCCACCTTGCATAAGGTCAATATTTATGCTCATCTCTTTTGGCGTGCCGTTATGGCTATGTTCCAATAACTTTGTTCAAAAGATTGTTTTTCCACGTTTTTCGGTAGCGGGACCGAGACGCCTCGGTCCCATAGGTGAAAGGAGTGACAAAGATTAGATATATTGCACCCGAGTTGTAAAAGTAGACTTTATAAAGATCTATTTCTAAGACATATTCTTCCGAAACTCCACACGAACCTAAACCCTGGATCCTGTTTAAAGAAAATACCCTCATCCAAACGTACCAACAATGAATTCCTGCCACTCTGAATGAGGCCCTTCCTCAACTGTAAACGCCGTAACAGCGACGGTGTACTTCCTCCCTCCATCCAAATGACCAATGACAATCTGCGTTTCCGAGGAACTAACGTTATACTTGGTTGCTGACTCTGGGTCATGATTGTGATAGTCTTTTATGTACACTGTATAACCGCGTAACTGGCCGTTTGCAGCCTCACTAGATATTGCATCCCACATGACCAGGATTCTGTTGTGTTGTAACAGTTCCACGTGTACGTTCTCGGGCCCTCGGGAGGGAGCTTGCAAGATAATAAAGGTTAGGTTAGACCCAGCCACACAATTCCAAGTAAGATAAACCATCGGGTTCTGTTTGTTCAAAGGGTGAAAAACACTATCCACTGGTTAGTGCATTAAGTTTGTTTACCACATACTCCCTGGGAGGTGATTTATTTGTTGGATAGCATTATCCACCATTTGAAAAAAAATAATTTTTACGTTAACATGGTAGATAGTTACTGTTAGAGCGTATCCGCTTTCTGAAGCTTGAAACTTTTACTTCTTCCAAACAAAGAAGTAATCCATTATAGATACGTCTCCTCAATAATCATGTAAGTTACATAGCATCTTGAGTTTTTAAACAAATGAAAATAAAAAGATCCTAGTTAGAGTTCGGTGCTAAACATCTTAATGCCCATCTTTTTGTGCAAGCAGAAGAACAGCCCTTTTGGGGGAAATTCAAACTAAACAAGACAAAACTTTGGAAATTATGCAGATCTTAAAACACGCCTTATTTTTGTTACATACCTCCTTCCTCAGTGGTAATTGAGACGTTATTACTTGAGTAAATATCGTCTCCGATGCTGCCCATAAAGGCAATCATCTGAATGATGTATTGACGCCCAGGCATAAGCAAAAAATCTATGTCGTCTCCCGAGTTGTGTATTGCCGTGGGAATCAAAACAATGATTTCCTCATCTGCTTGTTTGAACGCCATGTACAGGTCTTGAATCGGGTCACTTAATGGAAAGCCGGACCAGTCTAATCTCGCAGATGACCCATGTTGCTGGACTGTGACATTCCAAGAACGAAGTTGGGTTGCTGCAATTACATGATAAATGCGAAAAATAGAAAAATAAGGAAATTATGCTCTGAAATAAATTTAAGCCTATTGGACATGATAACTTTTACCCAACAACGCAGGACATGTGATTTAAACATGAACTTGTTTCCCAAGAAACCTACAAGCTTGTTAACATCCATGGTTAGAAATTTTGCTCTCTGAGCATATTGCCTTTCTAATTCCTGTGCGACGTTGTTCAGGGATTGCACGTATTAATTAAAATGGTTGGCGTTTAACTATTTCTTATAACATTTAACGGGTCAATGGTTGATATCGACCTTTTTCCATGTAATGTTTAGTGTTGAAGTATACCCTAGCTGCAACAAATTTCTTATGGCTCAGCTGTCAACCATTCGGCGACTGGCTGTCTTACCTGGGACGTAGGTTTGATCTTCCCTGTGGAGGTGTTTCTTAAAAATCCCCCCCCCCCTTCCACTAAAATAAAATTTATAAAAACAAACAAATAAAACGTTCCTGGGCTCTAAGCCGAGTCGAGGGGAGCACCTGTCAAAGCCATTTCATGAGATGAACTCTCTATCCCCAAGTTTAACAAGCGCTCACTTTCTCGTCACAGTATCATGGCTGAATCAAATAATGAGGTCATGAGAATAAAGCAAAAATCCATCCAAAGAAGCTCTCAGTAATTATAAAACAAATTCTGGTTAGGAAATGTAGAGAAAACAGTATGGAGAACATTTATTCTGATTTTAGGGAGTATAAGGGTTGAGCATGACACTCATGGCAAAAGTAAGGAAAATGAACCTTGATTTCCTCACTTTCCTAATGATGATAATGATATTAACGATAAAAAATGATGATGATGAAAATAATATTAAAAGCGGTTAAAAGTATCACCTGTGAATTTGCTGTCGACTGCTTCGTAAAACGCTGTAAACCCTTGACTCTCTCTCATAAGTCTCGCGTGGAAGGCAACATCAAGGTGACTGCTTAAGCTTGCCATAGCAAACTTATTATCCATTCCTCCATGACGGCAGACTAAGACGTCAAGGCTAATGTCCTTAGTTGAAAACGCCACTGCATCTTCCTGTCTAAGAAACCAGATCAATTAAAGGGAATTAGTAACAGTAACTTGTTAGCAAAATGTCGTTCGATAAACAGTCATGGTCAAGTGCAAAAAAAATATTTTCAGGGAATGAAAGAATGAAGAGGTATCAACATTCCCACGCACTTTTTTTGCCAAAAATTTGCATTCGAATTACGGTGAGATAAAAAAAAATGAAGAAGACTGATTGAAGGGATCTAAAGCTGGTTGACTAAAAACTAAAAAGAAAACCAATTCAAAGTTGTATGCATCACCCACTTCGTTGAGCAATCATGAAATCTAAGTGAAATTTCTGCTAAAAAGTAGAGCGGAGGTACTTCGCGTTCTAGATACTTACCCACAATGTCGGTCTCCGTGACCATCATAAGCAAGATTAACACCTTCAAACCACATCCAAATTGTTTCAATTGGACTACTTGAATTGGGCTGAATAGACCAATGACAATCCTGCTCTCCTCCATATGAACAAGGCTTATTAGGACTTTCTATTGAGCCGTTCAACTTTGTAAGGGTGCGCATTCCACCACAGCCTAAAGGGAAACGTTGAAAGAAATTGACGCAAGTTGCTACGCAACTAGTTTTATAATGGGGGGGGGAAGGGTAGACAGTGAACAGTGCGCTAAAAGAAGACTTAATCCAGCCGCAGGCCCACGCGGCAGCGCTCGCCTCATCACTCGCAAACTGTGTCACAGGAACTAAACTACGAAAGCTATAACTTTGTTAACAAAAACGATCAAGATAGCGACAAAAATTCTGCTGATGTTGTTTCGCTTATATTTATTTGTTCAATATGACTTCCGGTCCTTTTCATTGATTTTCTCTTCCTGAAAGAATTCTTGTTTTGAGTTTTTTAATGGAAAAAAAAGTGAAGGTACTCACGAGTTGTATCGCTGAGTATTGGTTATCCACTATAAGTAAATCTATTCTAGTAACAGTCACCAATAAACGAACAACGATAAGTGATAATAAATCCAGTTCCACAGAAGAATAAGCAACCAATCATCATTTATCGCCTAAGGGGGGTGGGGTAGGGGCTGTTTGAGGATTTTGTTTTTACTGCAATTAATTTTCCTCTTCTCCCTCCTCGAAAGTGTGTAGTATTTTAATGATCACCCTCATTGGCGGTCAATTTTCCATAGTCTCCCCTTTACACTCTGTTTTGTGACGAATGACCCCCCCTCCGTTCTCCCTCAAGCAGTGTAGTCCTCCCTAAAAATCCTCCAACCTTTCACTCCCCCCCAAACTATACATAATGAAGAGACCTTAACACTGACAACGTTACTTACTTGCATAGGTGTCTCTATGAGTGGGCGGCCCATTCCCCTTTGAGGTAAATCCCTCGAGTTCAAGGCGATACTTCAACCCAGGACGTAGATCACAAAGCGAGACATTGAAAGTGGAAGCATCTACTGTAACGTTCCCCTCATGTCCATCATGCTCAGGATCATGCTCAAAGCAGGTAGCGATGTACGAGAGGGTATACCCAAGAATTTGACCCCCACGATCGTGCTCGTAAATGGGATCCCAGTCGACCTTCACACAGCCCATTTCATCGGGATAACTGTCATGAATATGAGGGCCAGACATTGGCACTACAAAAAAAAAAGCTGTTTTATAAAGAAACGTTTACTCGTTTTAGCACGACCACATTCTGGACCATCTTTGATTTAGGAGAACGTTTCATCCAAGGGTTGATTTGTATGAACAGTGTCAAGGAGGCTTACTGTGAACATAGGAAAATCATTAACTCATTTCAAACAATAAGTGTCGTTTATCCTAAAAACGCTGCTTTGTTGTGAACACACCAAAAAGATGAAGCAAAATCACGTGACATGGGTGAGTGATTCATTAATTCACTGAGAGATCACGATGATGAGAATTATGGTGGAGACAACATGATTTCAAACTCGAAGTTAATAACATATTTTTCCTTTCGGCGAAAAGTTCAACTTCGAGAACGATTTAACGATATTTCATAACAATTACCTGACTCGTCGGTGAATTCTGTCATCTCGCTGCTTTTGTGAGGCTGACCTAAAACATCCACAGCTACAACTGATATGCGATATTCATGGTAAGGAATCAAACCGTGCAGCCACAAGGATGAAGTGGATGACGTCACAATCCTTCCATTTACAAAGTCATGTCGCGTTGTGGAAGCAACGATTACAACATAGACTTCTACTGACTGATCGATCTCAGAGGTCAATGCTGTCCACTCGATTTGAAAACTGTCTTCTGTGATATTGATCACGCTTACATCCCAGCCACTGACCTGTTGAGCTGACCAGACAAAACAAAAGGTTAGTGCAGTAGACAAAAAATTGAGATTAAAGCGTTAATGCCACATGAAGTTGAAGAGCTAGCAACGCTGTATCTCATTCGCCTGCCTCGTTTTGCTCTTTTTTGGTTGAAGTGTTCGTTTACTTCATTTTTATTTTTTGTTGCCTATTTTTGGCTTGTTTTTGTTGTTGTTTTTGTTTTGTTTTTTTATAAAAAAATTAATTTAGAAAGCCAGTCAAAAAGTTAATTGATTTATTTTGCTTTTGTCTTTTTTTTCTTTAAGATTTTGTATTTGTGCCAACATTGAAGATTGTGGTATTCTTCATCAATGTTTTCCTTATGCAACAAAGATTTGGGATAACTGACCAAAAAGTTAATGTCGCTTTTAAGAGTAGAATACTGAATAAAATTACACATTTTGAACAGGCAAGGGCCAATTCGAAGAAAACACAACACGATGCCTTAGCAAATATTTTTACTATAACGTTAGAAAAAATTAAATTCCTACAAGAGCGAAAAAATGATAATTATAACACGGACAAACTACCTAAAAGCCACTGCAAAACGAAATTACAGAAAACGATGAAAATGAAGCCGCTTACCAAATGCTGAGGATAAGTCGAGTTGGTGGTTGGAGAAAACGAACTATATAACTAAATTTACTTACAGCACGTAAAGAAGGAGCGTAATTAACAAAATACCGAAGAGCAAAAAGGAGAAAAAAAAAAGTACACGGTGACAAGTAAGTGAGAAAACGAAAAACAAAGGGAAAAATTTGCCGCAACACATTTCGTTAAGCTGTGCTGTACAAAGCTTACCGGATTTATAACTGCCTTGAAGAAAGACATAAGCTCCGTCAAAAGAGACATCGTCGACATATTGATCTATTTCCACAATCACTTTCGAAGCGTCAAATTCAATTATTTGGGTAGTTCTCTCCCGGCAGACTTCAGAATGATGAATGTGATGGTCTGGAAACATCTTGATGTTAACGTGCGTTCTAACGAAAAATAAAACAGTATGCATGTAGTAAATCTTTTGATATGTCTTCATTCAAGCTAACCTTGTTCCCTTTTGTAAAATGACATCATCATCTGTGGGAGGGTTATAAATCTGTTAATATGATTTTACTATTTGTTCAATAAATTATTTGTTCTACAAGATATTATCAAAGCATAACCTTCAATATAGAAATAAACAGATGTAGTTGATCCGGGTGGCCGGTAGCCAGCCGGAGCATATCCCGGTTTCCTTAGCATGCAGCGGCTTTGGAGTATGAAGAAATTCTCACGTGGAACACGTATATCTGGGGGACAATTTCTTTACCCTTGAATGTTTCTGAACTGGAGGTTCTACGACATCTTATCAACAATCCCTTCAATACAAACGATAAAAAACCCTTAGAAAGTCCATTTTTCTTTTTCTCTCACTAGCTGCAAAAATCAACTAAAATAAAACGTTGCTAAGATCGCAATAAATTTATCTCAGGTGTATCTGATTTGTATTAAAATGCAAAGCATTTTAGTGACGCTCACCTGGAGTAATACGAGTCAGTCAACCTGCCACCTTACCTCCTCTAACACCCCCCCCCCCCACCTTCCTTGTAGTCTCAGCTGTTAACCTCTCTTCGTGTGTTGTACGGACAGAGTGAAAATTGGATGCTAATGCTTTTAGGCGGCGAGTAGAGTGGATAAATCATTTCGAAAAAACAAAAACATCGATAGAAAAGAAGTGCTCGTCGTTAACGATAAAAAAAAAATTGGAAATAAAGTGGGAAATGAACATGACTTACCCACATTCAGCTCCTCTTTGTACATATGTGTTAATAATGACATGATCTCCTTTCGGGTCACCTTCATCCCCAATTATCCATTTACATCCCTTCTCCTGCGGCTTTGAACCCTTCATGAAATGTAATGAACCAGAAAGATCTGTTCTGTTCGAACCACCATCGCATTCTATTTGATAGAATAAAGCAACATATTTGAATGATAAATTGTTTGGATATTACGGGAGATTTCTCTTTACCTTTATTTCCCCATTAAAAAGGTCTCATAACCGATTCTTTGGTAAAACAATAAAATGAGGTTAAAAGTATTGGTGACACACCTGTCTGTGTTTTCAATAACCTATTTATCTATTTTAATTATTACCTTTTTTTAGTTATTGTCATTATTATTTTCAAATCTTTTTTCTCTTTGTTATATTGTTTGCTTTCCAAGTTACCAGTGACCTATTACTTGAAGAGAAACGCTTTGTAAAAGAAAAGGGAAATTCTAAGTAACGCAGTTACCGTTGATCCATTAAAATACATCGCAGCCTCCACATAAAAAACAACAAATAGCAAAGTATCCCTTTTAGCCGGTAGAAAACCAATTGAATAACAATAAATAAGAACGTACAGTTAACCTCGAGACGGCAGAGAGCAACTCAAGCTACAGGTCGGGGAGAGATACGGAACCTGGAATTACGGAGCTTAAATAAACCGCCCACTGCAGTCGACCATCCTACTTCCTGTGTATGAAGGAATTTACTCTTATAGACTTTTATACAGTTATCAATTTGATGTCGGACTTACCTGCATAAACAAGCTCCCCGCATGAAACCCCTACTGTTGCGTCCTCATTACAGTGACTATCATAATACTCTTCATGGCGGCAGTCCAAAAGTGGTGTGTCTTCGCTATCACATTGAAAGTCTCTAGGTAGGTACGAGTAGTTACCCGTACCAAAGTCAGAGTAATAGAACCTACTCTCCGGATCTGGGAGACCGAGCGTTCGGCACACAGATGTGAAAGCTTGGTGATTAAAATGGTGTTTGCAAAGCCTCCACCAGGTCTCGTTGAAGTATATTTCTATTCGTCCCTGGTTATCGCTTCCTCCGTCAACAAGTCGCAAGTCGCCTGGTGAAGAACAAAGTCAAAATCCTTCGTTCAAATATTTTTAGTTGATTGCTTAATACAAGATAGGATTTATGCCATAGGTTTCTGGCGGTCTACTGCCGCCCGTAAGACATGTTTAGCCTGTGTAGGCCCTAGTGTTTGGGTATCGCCTTACGGTCCCTCATCAAGGCACAGCCTTCTATGACATCATCTAAAGCCACTTAGGAAAAAATTATTGACACTACTGCCACAGTTTTTTTTTTTAACCCCTAGGCTTTGCCGGGCGCCGACCGCTGGATTTTATTAGGAAAGTACTCTCACATAATGAAATTAGAGGAATATCCACATGAAGACAAGATGGAAGGAACAGGGGTTCAATTTTGATGCAAACGAGGCTTAATTAAAACGTATAATAAACTATTCCTAGCAGCAATTTTTTTCTTTATTGCACGGGTGAAGTTTGCTCATGCCTGTGCGATTAAGACGACGTTGTTGATACTCTTCTCAAACAGCAGGAAGCTATTTTTTTTTTAATTGAAGCTACGTTTTTTCTGTGCATCTTCGAGATGTTCGACCTGAATTTTTGAATTTCATCATTTACCATCTGTGTCAATGTTGTCCATTCCAATTTCTGTGTTTTTCCATTTTACTACTTTCAACTTTTCTATGTTTTTCCTGCTTTGAAGGTAATTTAACCATTCACAATCTTGTGAAGTTCATTTGTTTTTATCCTTACAACAGGAACTCATATTAACCCACTTCCCCGATAACACAATTCACAACAACTTCAGACTTATACCTAAATGTAATGCAAAAATGTAGACATAAGAAATAGTTTCTGAAGCTAGAAAAACTGTAACAAGGTAAGTATTTATAAGCTTACTCTTGAAGAGGGTTGTAGCAATGAATTTGTTGAAGGTGGTTTAGGAGTAATGCAGCCTACCCAGTGCCAAGTTTATTAGCCTTTTGGCTATTAAGTGCTACTCTCTTTGAATAAAGAGTTTACTTACTTACTTACTTACTCCCTAAAAAGACTTAAGAGAAACCCTAAACTCGCTGGAAGTAGTAGGATAAGATAAGATAAGTACAATTCTACATGCTTTTAAACTCACCCTCTGATAAACTGGCCTCCACTGAATTTATCACTGCAAAAAGACAAAAACGTTAATAATTAAAACGACAATTGAAGAATTAGCCATGACTAGGAAATAATTTTGAACTATCATGAGAGAGGTAGATGATTTCTTGAAATCATCCATGCTTCAGTGTCCCCTGCTCGAGCAGTTTTCAAACCTCAACACTCGACCGCCGTTACAAGGAATGATACAGCGGCTAATTTTTAAGGTAGGTTTGCTTTGTAAACAAATCGATATGATTTTCCTTGCGGGGAAATTGGTCCAAGCTCCAATTTTGTTCATAGGGGCGTTGTTGGGACGCTTGATCATGAGTGAACAGAGCTTGATCCTCTCTTGAAAATAATTGTAAAATGACGACCTTAAAAACTACCATCGCGCTCAAGTTTTTCATACAAAAGTAGCCTATGATTCAAAAACCAGATGGAACGTCGTTTCTATCATGCAGTTTAACAAACAAATATAGATGGAGTTCCGCTGAATTCATTTCAATTTTTTTCTTCGGCTTTTATCCTAATTATTTGCTAATTGCTTTGTGATTCTTACATTAAGGCTCTTCGAGAAAACATTATTGATAACAAAATTAACATTATCTTCAACATATAGTATATAGATGTAAAAGACGGAAGAGTGACGTTACTATAAATCACCCCTTAACAATTTCGGATGCCACCTAACACAGGCAAAACAGGAAACTTTCGGTTCAACAAGAAGGGCGAAAAAAATTGACTGATTACATTATTTAAATTTGTGTTCTGTATTAATCTTTTCTGCCTTATTTTTCCTTGGTCTGTCAGTTTTTACCTCTTTGGTGTCTATATTTCAGAGAAAACGACTACTGGTACTTCAAACCTTTATTAGACTAAAGGGCAATTTTCTATGTCGTCAGGAATAATTTCAGATACCCTGACAAGTCTCCTTAAAAACTTAATGAGAAATCGGAAACGAATCTAGAAAGAGTGCTGCTCCTTTGGCTGTTCGACCCTTTTTCGTGTGAAACACTCCAACATGGTTGTACATGCACATAGGCACGTGTGATATTAGGCAGGTGCAATGGAAAGATGTTATCTTTTGAACTCTGCTTGCATGCAAGAAAAACCAAAGAGATAAAACGAGTGTTTTCTAATAGTGCAATATTGGTACACTGATAAAGATCATAACAGGGCTCTCCACTAAAGAAAGGAGACTGTTGTGCTTAGGAAGCCAAAAGAAAGCATGATTGACAGGTATCTGTCATTACCTGTGGTGTTGTCGTGCCATTAGGTAAGTGCAAAGTTACGCACATTACAAATATGCTCATTTACGTCACTTATTGACAGCTCAGGGTATTTAGCATAAATTTTTCAAATTTATCATGAGTAATCCGTCTTAATACTTGTCATACTCAACCATTCTCGTTTCATCAGGACTATTTTTCTTCTTGATGATTGCCTTTTCTTCATCAAATTTTATCTCCGTTTGGCGGAAATTTTCAACACTCCAATAATGATGCATGAAAAGTGGCACAGTTCTTAAACTACCGATTTAACGTCATTTGATATGTTAATCTGTCTCAGTCACCACCGATATCATCAATATTGAAAATCACTAAGACGTTGATTTAAAGGGGCGGTGATGGTAAAATGCGGAACGCCCGGGAGGCTAAGACCCATGTTTGAAAATCCGAGAGCGACACTTGAAAATTGTAAGCATACAATTCCTCATCATTACCGTTGCTTTTCTCAGATTATTACAAGATACTACTAATACCAATAAAATTTTGGCTTCAACATTTTGAACAGTTTTGTGTTCGTTTTGACCACATAACAATACATAACAACAATAGGAAAGGAAAACGATCATAAACAGATTTTCGTCTTTAAGCTTCTCTTCTCCAATCCGCCCCGAGCAACAACCGTAAAAGCTCAACACGAATTTCAACATAAAACTGCAAAAGCAGACTCAAAACTTTGAAAATGTGTTGTAAAAGCCTATTATTATTATAATAACTATTTATTAAAAATTTAAGAACAAAATTTTGTCGATGCTTATAACTAATGATGAAGGCTCGAAACGAAAAGTTTCTTTAGAAAACAAACTAAAAGCTAAGAACAAAAACCTACAAAATCAATTTTAAAAAACAAAAATCAATTTCAAGATGAAAGTTAAAGATGGAAGCTCGACGAACAATTTAACATGTACAGGTGTTTATTCCAGTTCAAATCCGTAGCTGTATCAGGTCTTTTGGTTTCTAAATGCGTTGTCACAAAATCAATGTTAAAAAAACGAAGCCATTCCAAGTGGAAGTGATAATGATGAAAGTTATAAAGCGCGTGGTAACATGTATCTTCTAAAGCAAACTCTACAAAACAGGCGGCAATAAGATATTTTTCTATATCATAATTTCTGTAAATCATAAACAGAGCCAGATTATTAAGGCGAAGTCTTGATAATAAAAGCTTAAAACGCATTCAAGAATATATGCTCAGAGTGTGAGTTTCGAAACCATACAATAAAGATTATATTAGCCAATACTTCTAATTTTGGAAAGGTTATCAGCAAGGAGAACCGACCAAGAATACTTAATTATACCTGTCATTTGAGGCCAAAATAGTATGAGATATGTAATCAGCTGCTGAAGACATGTGAATATCATAACGCCCGCTTGCATGGTCAATACACAAAATATCTACTTCTGTTTCACAGCCATCGACTTTCTTAGTGTGAATGCAAAATCTCCAACGCATTTTGAATAGTTTTCACACTTTAATGAGCATTTGTCATTGCTTTGACATGCAATAGAAGATATAATCTAAACTTATGATACATACAGGTTTTTATAAGTTCAGAAATCTGTAAGAAATGCTTTTGAAAAGACTGGTACAGAAAATCTTTAACCAAAATGAACTGACGCCGGTTAAGCTCTTCGTACTGGTCAGATATCGTGTTATTTTCCTGTACAGAAGAAATAACGCGGTCTGTATATTCCGGTTTGCTATAAGAGTACTTGGTATGCGGCAAAACTGATTAAAGAAGCTATTTCATGATTGTCACGCCGTGAAATTTTTAGACTGAACTTCTCAAGCTAATGATTTGCAAACCTGATCAATTCATTTTCTAACACCCGTGAACTAAATTTATTTGGTTTAAACTTTCTTGTTTTGAGTCATTATTTACACCAAATAATGATAGGAATTTATTAGCGTATAAAATTACCTCCTGGGTATGTACATACCTAGGAGCCGTTGTTGTTCCCTTATTTGCAATCGAAAAGATTTGGCTTTTTCCGTTTTGCCTTTTGCTTTTTCCTACGATAAGGTTACTACAATTGCGTGTATCTTGTCAAAATAAAATTTTTGGTTTGGGTAAATTTCCGCACAGCCCCATACCATTGTAAAACAATTCTGTTTTCCTAAGGGTAATGTATTGTTTTGTCGTTGTTTTCTCTATCCAAGAACTGAATGCATAATGTAGTATGGGGCTGTGCGGAAATTTTACCTTTGGTTTTCGCAACGTTTAGGGCAGATTTGCATATAGTGCAGAATTGATGAATCAGGTAAAAAAATTTCGTGATCATGTCCTTTCAACCTTTAACTTGAGGTTATTTACAAAACAATGGAAAAAATGTTTTGAAAAAAACTACGTAATTGACTAATTAGGATAACACGTTCACTCAAAAGTCCTGATTCGATTGTGTGTGCGACGGTGTCTAAATAAATAATTCAAAACAATGCAACATTATCCGAAGGGCTTTAATCAAGCTCTAAAATGAGGAGAGCAATGATGATGGTGTGAATAGTAATGGCGTCTTCTACCATAACAACACTGCCTTAATTCTTTTATGCAAACTTTTGAAAGCCATGTTTTGTGCAACCATTGTATAGCGTTAGCTTTGCGTCTCATTTAACATATAAAATATTTTTTCAAAGATCTTTCGTACGCGAGTTGATACTTTACATGGCGGCAAAGATTGATTATAAACTTATAAAAGTGCTGAAATCTTTGACATGTTAAACATCTTAGTGGAATGTTGAAACGATGCAGGTACAACAAGGGAACCCTGGAGTTTCACAATTTTCACCAGCATGTTGTCGCACTGATCATAAACACCACAAATTAACGAAGTCTAAAGGAGAGTCATTAGTTCATACATGTCTGACTATTAATTCACAATTTCCTCGCTTATTTCTCTAAATTTTCCAACATAGCACAGAAAATTCTTAATCCAGCCTTCTTTTGTGTTTCCAACATGAATTCTAAATCCTTCTTTTCTAAAGGATATTGGTTTTGAGACGCCATGAGAAGGAGGGAATGAAGATGAGTAATAACCGCCTTTTAGACCGACTTAACTGTTCCTGAGAGCAGACGTATTTTGGCTGAATAAAGTAAGATCACCTATGAGAGCAAACGTTTTCTGGTCATGACAGAAGTGTCGAAAACTTAAAAACACGAACACGCAGATATGCCAAAAAGACAAGGCTAACACAATACATATGTACCGAAGCCTTCAAAACTTGAACGTAAACGAAATTTTCCTGGATCTGCTTTTCATATTGAGCATGATTTAACACTAAATAGATCCAACGCTTGGTAACTCGAAGTGATTTTGCATTACCTCTGACTTTTTTGATAAGTTGAAATTGAACTATACAGTTCACGAATCCAAAGTCGAAGAATCTGCATGCAAAGCTACGCAAAATAATTTCTATTACACTGTTTAATTAACATTATTGTTTTGTTCCAGGTCTGTTTTGTCGCTTAATATCGTTTCCATGAATATTGCAAGAGGCATATAGTTTGCTTGTTACTGCTAATTTGCGAAAGATTCTAAAGTAAACAAAGTTTTCCTTTCAAGCCTTTGCCATCGACATGACAACTTAAAGTTGTCTAAGCTGGCATTCTTCGTTCCGCACCACACAACAAAGCAGCAGAGGTTCAAGGTTGATGATTGTAGCTGCATTCTAATGCAGATAGGATCCTTGATCACTCTGTTCACCCCGATCGGAAGAAAATAAGTTAAACATGACCACAAATATGACCGTGACCGTGGTCTCACCTGCTAAATTCCCGGATAGACAAATCCAATACCACATCAATAGGAACCCAGAATAATAACGAGGACACATCGTTCACCCGAAGTTCATTTAGACATGACAATGAGAAGCTCTTAATTTTTTTCAAGGGACCTCTATACCCTTTTCTGCATGAGCTCAGCTGTCAGTTGTCCAAAAAATAGCGCAGTCACAAACAGGAATGATTTCAGTCCCCAAACACGTGCATCGGTCACGCGTACATAGCATCCGAAACGTTCCATTTCACATGTTATATAACCCGTAGGCGTTTTCAAAGTGTCTTAATTATTGCTGAGTATGCAAAAGCTAAAAGAACTATCTAATCTGTTATCACAACCTACAGCGAGAGCTTTAAGTAGTTTAAATTCAGTGTCCAAATTTTAGGGTTTGACTGAATTATTTTTGTCGTTTGTTGACGCAACATTTTTCAAACCTCGCTCTTTCATGGGAAAAGATTCTCCCCTTTATTTTATGCCTTAAAAGAAAACGGTCCAACCACAAAACGATAGTAGAACTCGCACAATATCACCATGATCGATTCCAAACTATACACTCGAATGTTAGACCATGACCAAGTTTATGTTGCAGTTAAAAGCTTAACACTTCAACTGCATTCAGACACATTTTTAACACAGTGTTGATGTCTTGGTACAAAATCAGTTGATAACGGCTAAATCCCTTAGGGTTAAATTCTGGGGCACGTACGACGTTACAAACTCCAACACATGCATTTGAATTCCCTTTTTCTTATGGTTTCTGGGGGCGAATTTGCTAATCTTCTTAGAAGATGACCTACTGTCCAATGCAAATCATTTGACACAATCACTAGTATAAGTGCTTTGTACTTAGATATGAAATAAACTTGGTGCATTCTTAGGGTTAATTTTGTATGGATACACTCGGGAAGTTTGGAGAATACGAAAGAAGAGTCAGTGTTACTCAAAGCGTAAGTGAGGAGAACTCGAACTACCCGAGTGCTCTTTAAACTTTCTTAACACATCCATACGTCGATGTACGCACAGCTAAAAGCAGGTACCAATTCTTAGATAACATTTATAATATGTTCGGATATTACGCGCGCTGTCAGTGGTTGAAAGAGCGTGATCTATCATAGTATAAAACATAAAGCTCTATATTGATTAATCATTATTTATACAACATTTTTACCGTGTATAAATAATGATTAATTAATAAGAGCTGAGCTGAAGCTGTCGCGCAATCTGCCAAATTGTAAAGTCCGATAATTTCTCGGACTTTTCTCTTGCTCTTTTTCGCCATTGAAAGTGAAATTCGGAACAAGCGAGTCGGCATATAACAACGTAAGAACCAAACAAATATTTGATTGCAAGGTTACGTACAGTAATAAAAATCAATCACTGCAACTAACACTCGTATAGTGTATAAACTTTCGTATTTAAAAACGAAACAGAACCAACAGGAATTATGAAAACTATAGCAAAACTGGCATTAATGTTAAAATTCATTCTATTCATGACGGTGTTAGAGCGACTGCGATCATGCCGAGGTTCATCACGGCTAGCTCATCATGGTGACCTCTGGTCATCGCAGCAAAGTAAGCCTCAGAAATCAAATCGGCCGCCCTTCGAGTGAACAACTGGTAAGAGCTTGCTCTGATATCCTCTCCGAATCGTTTTAATGGAAGGCCACATCAGTCACAGCAGCCGAGTTTTACGGCGCTGTCATCTCGAGAAATCTTCATGTTTCTTAAAATTCGGCTGTCGTTCATTCACAAAGCACGCGCCTTGATCAGTTTGTTTTCTAATTGCCATGTGAAAAAAACTCGCGTGTTTTTATGAGCTTCAAATTGGCCGGATTTCAATGAACATTTCACTTCCAGATTCTGTATTAGAGACTAAAAAACTTCAGGCAAAAGTTTAAAATTCGATCTGCCGAATTATTTCAGTTTGTGAACTATTGCAGATTGTGAACTATGATGGTTTGACATTTCTGACAGCTTTGGTCTTGTTCAACCAATGAGATTACTTGAACCATTCTAACAGGGATTCTGATTGGCATATTATCGCGTGTTTTATAAAGATAGAGCATGCTGACGACATAGTTGTTCGCTTTGGACATGAAGTTTTTTCGGAGATTGAACGTAAGGCGTGGAGAATTTAACGGATTCTTTCTTATGGCACAAATAGAGAAGCCTTGACTGTGCTCTGTTCTGTTGTAAAGCAATCAAGAAGTGAGGAGAAACACTCGACTACGTCTCATGTTTCTCCCTACGCTTCTTTCGTGCCGAGCACGCTTCCTGCGTGCTTTAAAACAGAAAAGAGTACAGCCAAGCGTTCTCTACCTGTTAAATCAGACATATCGTTCTCGTGCAAGTGCTGGTTTATCTAAAATCACTAATTAAAATTTCCAGTTTCTTTTAACAAGTTGTCCATACAAAATTTTCTTCTTTGAAGGAAAAATGAGAGCAAGCAAATTCAAAATACCTACGTTCTAGTGTCAGTCTTAGCGTAATAAGGATCCGAAGAAGGGTTTTGATTTTCAAAATGGTATTAGTATTGCCTCTCGAGGTGTATTTCAGTGCTGAAGATGGACTCCTGGAAACAAGCAAGTTTTCTTTGGAGAGACCATTACGCAGTTATTCTAACGGTCAGTGAAGAC